ACACACACACACACACACACACACACACACACACACTCACACACAGACAAACACACACACACACACACACACACACACAAACGCGTTTACAGCATGTGTGGTTTCCAACCTTTGACTTCTCAGCGTCGTGCTGCAAGCGGCGAAGCGACTTGAGGATGCGCACGGTGGTGTCTTGCGCAATGACGTGGCACGCATTGGTGATGAACAGGCTCTGGCGATAATAGGACAGCTCAATCGCCTGCAACATACGATCACATGTGGTGTGAGGAGATGGGGCGGATGACTTGAGCGAAACACACACACACACACACACACAATGTTCGCTGCTCTGCAATGGCAGCAGATGACACAGCGAGCCGGTGGGTTGGGCATGGGTGCACCAATTGAAATGCACATGTGTCACACCTTGAGCAGTTCGACAATGCGGAAGAGAGCAGTGACGTGCGCCTTCTTAATGGGTTCGCCGAGCATCGTGTGCAAGTTGATGAACGTTGCCCCGAGATGACGCAATCGGAACGCAAGCATGACGCCCTGCAGCCAACGCCAGTGGCAATCGAAGCGAGACACGCACACCACGACTGTGAATAGGCGACTTGGGACAGGAAAACGAATCAAAGAACAACAGCACCCAAACACACACACACACACACAAAAAAACCACAAACAGCCAGCCCACATGATTATCAGAGGGCACAACCGCCACCACCACGGCAGCAATATCCTGCTCGCCCCATGTCACATTACCGCCAGCACGACCATCGCATGAGAGGCGGCTTACGCGTTCAATGTACTGGCGCTGCGCCGCAAGCCGCTGACCGTCGCTCGCCTGCGGGCGGAATCCAGAGTCGAGCCCCGTCATCCACACGCACGTGTGCAGATACAGCGACTGCACTGTTGACGAGAGTGTGGCGTCCATGTGTGTCATAAACGCGCGGCGCATCGCTTCCTCATTCAGCGTCTGCTTGGAGCGAGCGAGCGAGTGAGTGAGTGAGCGTGAGTGAGTGAGTGAGTGAGTGAGTGAGTGAGTGAGTGAGTGAGTGAGCGCGAGTGAGTGAGTGAGGGAGTGTGGAAGCAGTACACGGGCAAACGTGGGAAATCAGGGCATGAAAGGCAGAGGGGTGACCAGGGTACAGACCTTCTTGTCAAGAAAGGCCTGGATGGCGGGCAGCTTGCGCAGGAGGAAGTCGCCGGGCGCAATGGTGATGGTGCCAAAGACGTGCACGGCTGGGACGCGCTTGTTGATGGCCCACATCTGGCGCACGAGCCGCTTGTCCACGCTGTGGAAGACAGACGCAAACAGCGTCATCTGGCAGCAGAAGCCGAGGTAGTGCATGCGGTGAAACTTCTCCTTGGACGTCCCAAGCACTTGGTCTGTAGCGGCGTGCGTGTGCGCGAGTGAGTGGGTGGGCGAGTGAGTGAGCGAGCACGTGTTGATGTGAATGAGGGATTGTGCATCAATATGGAACGTGAGTGGATTGTGTTTGCACTCTGTGGCGCAAGTTCGCAGCCCACAAAGCGCAAAAGCGCCGCCATTTACCACGACCACCGCGACCACCGCTGTTCAGCGTACCGAGCTCGTGGAGTTGGGTGCTGAGGCTGTGTTCAAAGTGGGCCTTGAACATGGCGTTGCCGCTGACCTTCACGGTCATGTCATCAAAGGGCTGGTCGATGCAGTTCTGGAACAACATGTTCTCAAACAACTGGCCCTTTAGCTTCGAAAACAGGCGCTCAAACGGCTAAACACCGCGCGTTGTGTGTGTGTGTGTGTGTGTGTGGCGTGTGTTGTGGATGTGTGATGTGAAATGTGAGGGTGAAGTGTGGAGAGGATAAGGTTGGTGATGTCGCACAGACAGACAGACAGACAGACAGACAGACAGACAGACAGACAGACACACACACACACAGCCACATACACACAGACACCCACCCACACAGACATAGACCCCCCCCCACATCTCCACATGCGTACCAGGAGCTGGTCCTTTGTGAGGGTGAAGAGTTCAGGCTTTGCGTGGACCGTGCGCAGCATACGGCGGTACTGGTCAAGGTGGTCGTTGAGTACGGCGTTCTCGGAGATGATCTCATCAAGCATGACGAGGGAGAGGAGGGCCTGCCCAAGGTGCTTGAACACGGGGTCGAGGCTCACGTGCTTCATGTCCATGCTCTGCTGGTGCTGCGGACTGTAGATCATGGCCAGCTGCTGCACGCCGTTCTTGACGACCTGCGTGATGCGGTCAACATACACGGAGATGCGCTGCAGCAGCGGGATCATGCGCCCAAACAGCAGCTGCAGGTCGCCCTCCTGCAGCGGGGTGTGCACGCACGAGTGGCCGTACAAGTGCAGCGGGGCATAGTAGTCGCGGGCGCCTTCCTCGTGCAGCATGCGCAGCTCATTGCACAGCGTCACAAACACGGCCATCACTTTGCTCAGCACCTATGTGTTGTCGTGAAAGAGCGCAAAAGCAGTGTGACAATGGGTGCAGGGTGATGTAAGGTGCGTGTGTGTTGGGTGAGAGGGGGGGGGGGTGGTGGGGCAAGGAGTTGTGGCATTGCATGTGGAACGAAGGACAGGGAGGAGGGAAAAAAGCATTGGGGTTGGTTGGTTGGTTGGTTGGAAGGGTGGTTGGATGGTGCGATCAAGGCATGCGGGCAGGGGGATGTTGCTTGGCAAAGGGGTTGACAGCGCACCTTGTTGTCTGTGCTGACCAGCTCCAGCACAGATGTGCTTTCGTGTGGTCCAAGCTGTTGGAAGTGGAAGCGGAAGCGGATGAAAGGCGGATGGAGGGTTGGGTGTGTTGGGTGTGTGTGGGTGGTGGAGGGTGGGATGAGAGTGTCGGTGAGTTGTGTACAAAGAGGGCGTGGAGCATGCTCAGGGGTGGCAGGGTGCAACGCATCAAACAGAGTTCACATTCACGACATGCACGCGCACAAGAACACACTCACACACCAACATCAACGAGCACACACTCATACATATAGAAGGACAGACAAGCAGACAGACAAGAGAGGCAGGCCGACAGAAGACGGACGGGCTCATAGAGACAGGACACTAAACACACAAAATGAAACACAGCCACACAATCACACCCACACCCACACAGACACTCACACACAGACAGACAGACATGCAGACACACACACACACACACACACACACACACACGGACACAGATACAGACACACACACAGACACTCACACACAGACACACACGGACACAGATACAGACACACACACAGATACAGACACACACACACAGACAGACAGACATGCAGACACACGTACGTCGAGGGAGACGGGGTTCTTGAAAAAGTCCCAGTGGGCGCCGAGGGATTCGTCCAGGGCATCTTCCACGTCCAACAGTTGGCGTGCATGGCCTGCGAGGAAGGACCGAAACTCCGACACCTGCTTGTTCTTCAAGCGCTCTGTTGTTTTGGTTGGGTGCAATCGGGATGACACATATGTTTGTGAGGTGTGGGGATCAGCCGCTAACCAGCCAAGGACAGCAAGCAAAGCAAGCAAAAGCAAGCAAAAGCAAGCAAAAGCAAGCAAAGCAAGCAAAGCAAGCAAAGCAAGCGAAGCAACCACACACGCACACGCACACACACACGCACACACACACACACACGCACACACACACATACAAACACGCACGCACACACATACAAACACACACACACACAAACTCACTCTTGGCTGCATCGTCAAAGGCCTCAAACTCCCATCCGCTGTCGTCGAGGCTGGTCATGGTGAGAGCGCTCTCGCTCACAAGTCACCACTCACTCTTTCCTCTGCAAGCACACACCACACACCACTGCTTGTTGCTTGTTTGTCTTCTGCTCTCCTCCAACCAGCCAACTCGGCGATCTCCCCTTATTTCTGCTTGTCGCTGTCGTGGCGTGGATGATTGCTGACTCAGCAAGAAAACGAAACGGCTGGCAGCAGCAGACACCACAAAAGGCACGCACAGGCACCAGGCTCAGTTGATAATTTGCTGAAAATTTCGCACATTTATCGATGTTTGGGTTTTGGATGTGCGAGGCGAAGCGAAGGTGGCGAAAGTGTGGAAGTCCAAGTGGGACATGAGCATTCTTGCCCGGTTTCGATGCACCGACTGCGCAGGTTCGTTTCGCTTGCTTGCTTGCTGGCTGGTCAGGCAACGTGCACTCACTTTCTGTCTGTTTGTCCAAGCACAGCAACGCAGCCAGTTGACGTTGTGACGTATCTCGCTGCTCTTGTTGTGCTTGTGTGAGTGTTTTGGTTGGGATCGCCTTCTTCCTCCTTCGTTTGTGCCCCTTTGCGTTGTCGTTGGGTCGTTGTGCATGAGCAACCAAGCAAAAGACACACAAGAAGCACAAGAAGCGCCTCGCTCGCACACACTTGTTTTCGTCTTTCCTCTTCCCCCTCTCTGCCTCTTTTGCTGCGCATACATCTTCCCTCTTTTGTGCTCTTGCGCTGCCTTCTTTCCTTCTTGCTTCTTGCTTGCCTTCCTTCTCGCATTCCGGGTTGCACAAACGCACACAACAGCAACAACTTGCGCCCATCCGCGCACATGCAGCCACCAGCCCTCAAATAGCTCGGCTTCTCCTCTCTCTTTTGCTCTCTCACTCTCACTCGTTCTCTCATACGCACAGTCCACCCAACCCCACACGCACCCCAAACTATTGCATTGCAGCTTCCCACAAGCACACACACGCACACACCAACCAGCCAGCAGAGCCAACAGCTGTGCTGCGAAGACAACCAGCTCGCTCGCTCGCCTGTGATCGCCGTGTGCTGGTTGCGGTGCCATCTGCCCCTTTGACCGTTTTCATTGGCTGCCTCGAAGCACATTCCGATTTGGTGAGTGTGGGTGTGTAGAAAGAAGGAGGACGAATGTGTTTGTTTGCCTGTACGCGGACGTTACATGGAGGTGTGCAGTATGTGTGCATGAATGCGTGCGTGTGTGCGTGTGCATGACTCTATTCGTATCCGCACCACCACGCATTGCATGCATCTCTGCCGTGCGTTCGTTCCTCCCTGCTGCTCTCTGTTTCCTCTCTGTTGCTCTGTTTTTCTTCTTCTCTCCTCTCTCCTCTCCTCTCTCTCGACCTGCCACACACGCAGGGTTGTGTGTGCAACCAACTATTCAAGCCAACCCACACAGCCACACACACCACGCGCACAACGTCGTTGGGTGCATTGCGTGATCCTACCTTGTGTGTTTGCGTGTGTGTCACTTCATCCCCACACACACACATACATCGAGCGTCATCACGCTCATGCACAAGCTCAGCCTGCTGACCTTTCTGTTCTTCCTGTCTCTTCTTCTTCTTCTGTTTCTTCCTTGGCGTGTGACTTATCCCTTTGCAACACATGTGTCACACTTTGACTTTCGTCATTCAAACAAACCAACAAACAACACCATCACCATCATCAACACCACCACCACCAGCATCAACTCCAACACCAACACACGCACTACCTTGCATCGGCACCAGCTCCCTCCCCTTCTCCCCCAAAACACCCCATTGACATTTCCCCCCTTCCTCCCCCCCCCCCCCAACTCTCTCTTCCGTCTTCCCTTGTTCTTCAAGCACTCGCTCACGCACACACACACACACACACACACACACACACACACACACACACACACACACACACACACGCACACACACACACTCGCTCACCGTCGTCAACCCTTGCTCCGCGTCCTTGTCTCCCTCCCCCCCCTCTTTTCTCTCGCCTTTATTGTGCGCGCGGATGTTGCGATACACCACAACCGCCACCGTGTCGTCCCACAGGTCGCCAGATCCCCTTTGTGGCCACGCACACGCCGCCACCACAGCCACACCACCACCAGCGCGAGGAACAACCCTCTCCTCGCCTGTCACACCGGCACCCAGAACCGGCCAAGACCACCAACAAGACCACCAACAAGACCATTACTTTGAAGGCCACAGCCACGCCGACAACAGCCACAGCCACGACCAGCACCACAACCACCAAGCCTGGCGAGGGTGTTTGCATGAGGAGCGCCACTGCGAGCGCGTGAATCAGTGCGCCCCGCACACGGCTGTCCCCGTCTCCACATCACCGACCACATTATCTGTACCGTCGTGCAAACAGAAACGGCACACCCTCCACTCGCTCCACGCCATCCACACGCAGCCAACCGGCAGCAACGGCAACCCGGCCCGCCACAACTCATCCAACAAACCACACAACCACCGCGCCATGCTGGGCCAGAACAACGGCGGCGGCACTGCCCCCGCCACCCCACAGGGCTTTGTCGGCATGTACGACTTTCTCGGCAACCTGGGCAAGGGCCACTTCGCCGTGGTGAAGCTTGCGCAGCACGTGCTCTCCAAGCAGCGCGTGGCCGTCAAGGTGATTGAGAAGGGCAAGCTCAAGCCCGACGAGGAGGCGCACATGCAGCACGAGATCCAGGTGATGAAGCTGCTGCGCCACCCGCACGTCATCCGCCTGTACCAGGTCTGCAACACCAACTCGCGCATCTACCTCATTCTCGAGCTTGGCGATGGCGGCGACCTGTACGAGCGCATCAAGAAGTCCGGCGCCTTTCCCGAAGAAAAGGCCCGCCGCTTCTTCCGCCAGATTGCAGAGGCCGTCTCATATTGCCACAAAAACCACGTCGCCCACCGCGACCTCAAGCCAGAGAACGTCGTCTTTCGCACAAACAAACACGGCGATGAAGTCGCAAAGGTCAGATAGGCAGCACACGCGTTGGGGGTGGGAATGTGTGTGTGTGTGTTGAGGGGGGGGGGGGTGATGTATGTAGAACAAACACTGCTTTGTTCTGGGTGTTCTGGGTTTGTTGTTAGGTTGCTTGCTTGTTTGCTTGCTTGCTTCCCTGTTGCATTCTTGTTGCATCCCTGTTGCTTCCTGGCTTGTTTTTGTACCTGTGCACTCCGCTCATCATCAGCGCTTGTGGGTGGTGCAGGTGACTGACTTTGGCCTGAGCAACAGCTTCTCCCCCGGCGAGAAGCTCAAGACCGCGTGCGGGTCTGTCAGCTATTCCAGCCCAGAGATCCTCCTTGGAGAGCCGTACGACGGCCCGCTCGCAGACATGTGGAGCCTCGGTGCGTGGCGTGCGTGCCCTTGTTGGCCTAGGTTGTTTGTCTGAGTGGGGTTGTCTGTTTGTCTGAGTTTTGTTATTTGTTTGCCTGTATGTATGTTTGTTTCTTGCGTTGGTTGATCGTGTATTGAAGGTGGACCACACACACGACACACACACACACACACACACACACACACACACACACACACACACACACACACACACACGCATGAGCCTTTCACCCTTCTTCACTACATCTTCTGTTGCTCACGGCCCCCCGTTCTTTGTGTTCACAATTATTTCGCATTCTGTGCAGGCGTGATCTTGTACATGATGCTGACCGGGGAGCTGCCGTTCCAGGGCCACGACGACTACACCACCGTGATGAAGATCATGGACACGTCATACAAGCAGCCCGAGGGCGTCAGCGAGCAAGGCCTCGACCTCCTCTCAAAGCTGCTCAGCAAAGAGTGCGAAGACCGCATCAGCATGGACAGCGTGCTCAAGCACCAGTGGCTCGCCGGAAACAAGGACCGCGCCGCCGCCACAGCGTCCACAGCAGAGACAGAGCCCGGGACCGGCCGCCCCAAGCTCACGCCGGACGAACACGAGCGCATCATGCGCATCATGGAGGAAGCCGGCATTGCGCGCGACGCCATTGCGTCAAGCATCAGCGCCAACTCGTACGATTACATTGCGTCGACGTACTTTCTGCTCGCCGACAAGGAGGTGCGGCGGCGGGCGCGGGGCCAGGCGAAGAAGAAGTCCATGGATCAGGCAGCGCGCGACTCGGCAAAGAAGGACGAGACCGTTCGCCTCCGCCGCGCAATGACGCTCAGAGCATCCCCAACGGTGAGCCTGACACGCTGCAACATGCACCCGTGTTTTGATCATCACCGCTCAAAGCAAGCATGCGCACACATCCAACACACGCATACATGCACGCACCCACTCACTGTCTCTCTCACTCTCACTCACTGTCTCTCACCCTCACCCCCTCCCCCTCCCCCCCCAAATCACTTCACCCACCATTCAACCCCCCCCCCCCTCTATCCATCCCCATCCCCCCTCAAAAACAACAAAACAACAAACACACAGCACCGCCGCAAGAACCAGGGCAAGCCGCCGCGTCTTGGCACCAAGGCCGTGCCGCGCCGCCCGCGTGCCCGCCCAGAGCCCCTGCCAGACTACCTGCGCGATCCGGAGCCCTGCTCCTCCGGCGATGAGGACGGTGCCACAACGCCCAAGAGCGCATGCCTCGTCACCCGCCGTGTGCACACCACCTCCGAGCGCAGCGTGCCCCGCACCTACCTGGACCTGGACTCTGCCAGCAACAGCAGCAGCAGCGTGTCGCCAAAGCGCGGCTCGCACGAAACAGTCTCTGCCACCCACGCGGGGGCGCCGTCGTTTGACTTCTCCACCCCGCAGCGCCCTACAACCGCCAGTCCCGGGCTGCGCCGGGCCGTGCCGCGCGTCGAGGCGTGCCCACCCAGCTCCGGCGATGAGGATGACGCCGACAGCAGGCGCACCAGCGCAGGCTTCCGCTACCGTGACAACGACGCTGACGATGACATGGATGACGACGAGGATGGCATGTCCACGCCCGACAGGCGCGGTGTGCCCCCGCACATGCAGCACCAGCAGACGGGCTCGCTCAAGCACCCGCGCAAGCGCGATTCCCGACGCGTCAGCTCCACCTTCCACGACTCGTATGGCCTGTCGCCGCGCTACTCAGCGTCGTGCCGCTTCAACCTGCCCATGTACATGGACGGCAGCGACTCGCCGCTGCACAAGTCCGTGTCGTCGAGCACGCTCAACACCTCGTCCCAGCGCACGTCCATCGCCTCTGTGGAGAGCGGTGACACCTCACGCAAGTCGTCGTACGGCCTGGACGACATGGACATGATGCGCACAAAGTCCACCACGCCAAAGTTCTTCCTGTGCGAGGAGGACGAGGACGAGGCGGAGGACCTTGAGCTGCGCGATGGCCGCGTGTACACGGGCGGGGACGCGCGCCGCACTGCGCTCTCGCCCCAGCTCGGCCGGCACCACAACAGCAGCACGCCCTCGCGGGGAACGCGGCGGCCACACCCGCTGCAGCGGCTGGAGTCGCGTGAGGAGCTCCTGCCGCGCCACAACTCGGAGAGCGGGCTGCTGCAGATGCGCACCAAGAGCATGCGCTCAATTGCCGAGGACAGCACACTCAACTTTGACGAAGAGGATGAGGAGGACCTTGATGAAGCTGACGAGATGGCTGCGATGGAGGTGGAGGCCGACGCCGGATACGGCGTGCGCGGCACTGACGACGAAGATGATGGCGATGGCGATGATGAGGGCGGATTTGGGTTTGGTGATGATGACATCAACGACACGGATGTGCAGCGGCTCAGGGCGTCCACCCTGCCCATTCTCGACCTTGGTCCAGAGCATGAGCCACACAGCAACACCAGCAGCCCCCTGCACACCGTGTCGGGCGTATCACGCGGTGCAACCACTGTGGACGCCGACGGCAGCTTCACATCTCCCGCCACTGCCACTGCAACCGGTGTTCACAAGCACATCGACGGTGGCCAACACCACCACAATCACCACCAGCAGTGGCCGCATATGCAGCAGCCAGCCACGGGCACACTGTCGCCAATTCCCCGGCGCGATGGGCTTGAGCGTGGCTCGCTGTCGCTGCGCGTGCTGAAGCGCGAGTCTGCGTCGTCGTCGTGCGCGACCATCAGGGCGGCGTCCGGCATGAACTCGCCCGACGTCGGCGGCACGAGCGAGGACGAGCGCGACGAGCCCGTGATGATGCGCGGCGCCAGCGACAGCAGCATCGACGACTACGACAACGTGCGCCGCAAGTTCTCTGGCATGGAGGTTGGCGGCGAGACGATGGCGGACCAGGATGACGACCAGAACCAGTGGAGGGGCGATGTGCACGATGACACGAGCGCACCCACCGCAGCCAACAGCAGCGGTAAACCTGACGATGCCGCCGCAAATGATCACCATTGCCAAGACCGTGACCAAGGCAACAACAGCAGTGACGATGGTGATGGCGATGATGACGAGGAGGATGGTGCTGAGGATGAAGGCCGGCTTGGGGAGCTGTCTGTGCCATACGGGCGACACGCGTTCTTTGGCATGCGCGCTGCATCTGTTGCGTGCGACATGAACACGAGCCGGTACGCTGGCAAGGAGTGTAATGTGATCATGGAGGAAGAAGAAGAGGAGGAGGAAGAAGAGGATGAAGGCGAGGGCGAGGCTGAATCGCGTGATATTCTCTGCGAGAGCTTGCCTGCTGCTGCGCACCGCCGCCTGGCGCAGGCGTACGCGCGAGCCGACACGCAGGCACTCACACCGCCAGCGGTGGGCCATGGTACCGCGACCACGCCCGCGCTGCCTGGTCACCCTCCGCCACCGGCTCCATCCTCGAAACAACAACTCCACTCCCACCATCACCATCACCACCACCCACACCATGTCGGGAGCGAGAGCGGACACCACTCGTCTGAAGACGACAGTGCCGCGTCTCCCCGCACGTCGCGCTCACAGCTGCAGATTGCAGTCAACAACTAATGGCGCCCGAAACGAATCGGGCTGCTTACCATCTTTGAAATTTCACCTTAATTCACATAACCTTTTTCACTCAACAAGGTCTCCTCTGCTCTCCCATTATTGGTCTTTCGTAGTGTTCGCACACGGGTTGATGCTTGAGAGTGGTGGCTGTGCCGTTTAGTCTTCTTGTCCATTTTACATTTGAGTTGTGTGTGTGTGTGTGTTTTATGTTGTTGTTGATGTGTTGTTGTTGATGTTCTTACACTAATTCATCATCTGCGTGTTGGTGATGATCCCTGTACTATTCTGGTTGGTGTATGATGTGATGTGGTGGCACTTTATGCAAGCCCTGTACTAAGCATGAGTGCGTGCGGATGGATGTGTTCCTATTTGAAGCCGTCGAGGGCGACTTGATTGTTGGTTTGTCCATTTTTACGAATTGCGCTGTGGTGTGTTTGGAAGGACATTGTTGTTCCAGCACACACGCACGCTCTTCTCCAGCCGCTGTCTGTGTTTTGTGCTGTGCAATTGATCGATTGGCTGGGGAAAAGGCTGTTAGCTACCACTTGAATTGTCGTCACTCTTGAACTCGTTGTTGTCTCCTGTTATTGGCTCTTGGCACACACACGCGCGCGCACGCCTTTGCTCGCTTGTTCTTCGCCCCCCCCCCCCGTGGCGCAGCGTGTGTTTGAACTGTACATATCCCCCTCCCCATGTTGTTGGTCCAGCCAGCCTTTTAGTTGTTGGTTGATAAGGAAGGGTCAACAGTGCACCCCGACTTGTGTGTTGCTCGTTTGTCTTGGCCTTATTTCTCGCGCTCGCTCCTTCCAAGCTGTGGTTTTCGATTGATTTTAACTGCACCACCAAGGCTGGCTTCCCGTCTTCAGTTTATGTTGCTCGTCTCGTGCTCCGTGGTTATGTTGGCGTGCGTTTGTTGCCCCCCCCCTCCTGTAGTGTGACCTAACTGCTTTCTGCGTTGTAGGGATTGGCAGCTGTGTGGCTGTGATCTCTGACAACTTCCAATGCGTTTGTTGTGTGTGTGCGTGCGTGTGTGTGCTCTGAATGTGGCTCTAATTGGCAACTTTTGTTAGCATCTTGTTCCTACGACTGCTTGTTGACTTGATGGATGTGTGAACGCACAAAACACGTGCGGGCTTTACTGTCTTTGCACACAACGCTGCACGTTGTGACATGACGTTTTTCAACTCTCAATTCATCAATTAAAACACAAGCATGAAGCAACCAAGTTGTGCGTGCGTGTGCGTGTGCGTGTGCGTGTGCGTGTGTGTGTGTGTGTGTGTGTTTGTGTGTGTGTGTGTGTGTGTGTGTGTGTGTGTGTGTGTGTGTGTGTGTGTGTGTGTGTGTGTGTGTGTGTGTGTGTGTGTGTGTGGTGCGCCGCAACAGCATGTTGTGCGTTTCCCTCTTTTGTTGCGGCCACCTATGCGGACGATGAGGACTGCTGGTGCGACGGAAAGAGTGACGTCTTTGACGTGACGGCAGTGACAGATCCAACGGACGCATATCGCATCGGGTTGCCCGCCCTGGTTCACGTGTGTGTATGTGTGTGTATGGGTGTGAACAAACAAGCGCGGTTGAGCTGTCATATGTGTGTGTGTATGAATGAATGACTGCGTTGGCTGCAGACGGTTGCAGATGGCTGGGTGACGCCATGAACGTACTGGAACGGGGAGAACGGTTGGTGCTGCTGTTTTGCTCCGTGCGCCTTTGGTGGCTTCTCCAAGACAAGCGATGCCTGGCGTGCGGTACATCACACGAGAGTCCGTTTGCAGGATGAGCGGTCGCATGCGCATCGATGAAACAGGGCGGGAGATGCAAGGGGTTAGGGAGAGACGGAGGAGGGCAACAGGGAGAGAGGGAATCAAGAGAGGGGATGGAGAACGACAGAGGCAGACACAGACACACAGACACAGAACACGCACAGACACGCACAGACACACACAGACACACAGACACACAGACACACACACAGACACAGACACAGACACAGACACACAGACACAGAACACACACAGACACACAGACACACAGACACACACACAGACACACACACACACACACAGCACGCATGTACGTTTGATCGATGAACGAGGACAAAGACGAGGGCTACGACAAGCAGCACGCCAATGACCGATCCAAAGAACACGCCGACGCCTTGGCCAACCGTGTACCCAGAACCCCCTTCATCCTGAACCGTTTCCGCCAAATCAGCAGACAGCGCATCTGCAGCAGCAGCAGCCATGCGAGCGCGCGAGTGTGAAAGTGAGTGAGTGAGCATCGTTGTGCGCACAGGTTCATCTGCAAGGGCGGAGCACAGAGAGCACGGTGCCCGTCGTTCCTTACCACGCCGGCTGCTGAAGACAAAGGATGCTGCATCTGCGTGGAACAGCATCGACGTGCCGTCGCTGCGGCGTGTATTGAAGGCGCATGTTATGTTACACAGGTGAGTTGTGGCAGACATGACCACGTACATGTGTGCATAATGTGTGTGTGTGTGCATGTGCGTGTGCGTGTGTGCACAAGTGTGCGTGTGTGCACAAGTGTGTGTGTGCATGTGCGTGTGCGTGTGTGCACAAGTGTGTGTGTGTGCATGTGTGTGGGGTTGGTGAGCTTGATCCACGCACGTGCAAGCAAGCGAAGGTGCTGTGCTGGCGAAACGAGCGCCGTGGCCATACCGTGTTTGATGGAAGATGAGAATGTCGCCAGTCTCCAGATCGGATTGAAGCGGCTGCGCATCATCCCGAGTGACATTGGACAGAATCACCAGCAGCACCTCGCGTTGCGGTTTCTCCACCGCAACGCCGGCGTTCTCAAGCGTCTGAACAGTGCACACGCAACATCAAACATACCACACACAGGAAACAGCGCACCAGCGTCACATCACACCTCGTTGAGCTGAACAGGCAAGGAAGGGAAGGGAAGAGAAGGGAAGAGAAGGGAAGAGAAGAGAAGGAAGCAGCCGTCGCCAAGTACACTACATGGTCGCGCTGTTCGTACCGGGTACGTTGTTTGGATGTGTTGTGCGATGTCTTCCTGAAGCGGTACCAGCAGGGTCGCATCCTCGGCGCCGTACACGGACCGAACCACAAACCGGGCAACTGAGGACGACGCGGTTGCAGTGCGCGGATGCATGTGGGCGTGAGTGGTGGTCGAGGGGAATGGGAGCAAAGGACAAAGGAGATAAAAAACGTAAATGGGATCACAGCATGACAATCGCAGGTGTGCACGAGCACACATGTGTACATGTCACACACACACACGAAGCGTGCGAAAAGAGACTCAGACATACACAGACAGAGACTCAGACACACAGAGACAGAGACTCAGACGCACACGCACACGCACACGCACACGCACACGCACACGCACACACACACACACACTCACACACACACACACTCACACTCACACACACTCACTCACACACACATACACACACAGTGCTCACATTGTCGTTGCTCATTCCCGTCTTCCCTCGCCAAAGTCGAGGAGGACATTAGCACAACAACAAACACGACTGCAAACAACACTCGCAGCACCATCATCATCATCGTTGTCCTTCTGCCGCGACAGCGACACTCAAAAATACACAAGCACAGCACCAACAACACAGCACACACGATGCCAAAGGAAGGTGGTGGAGCGAGCAGGCATGACTACGGCGTGATCCGTGAAGGACCACAGCCTGCGCTGAAGCAGACCATGTCCGCAGAGGAAGGGTCCTTGCTATCCACTCGTTGGTTGAAATGGACGCGTCGCTTTCAAGTCGCAGCCATGCTCGGTGAGTTCGATGTCTGTTTCTGCTGCTTTGCGCGGGCACATGCGTCTGTTCTGCGCGCATGGGGTGTAGTCACTCGTGGTTCTCGTGTGCTGGAACATCGTAATGCGCTGTGGTGGTGCACTGTGGCGCGGGAACACGTTATTGTACGTGTCACTGACTGCACCTCGTATTTAGGGCTTATCATGTATCCATGTACTCACATGCTCTTACGTCATGTGTGTGTGTGTTGCGTGTGTGCGTGCGTGCGTGCGTGTGTGCGTGCGTGCGTGTGTGCGTGCGTGCGTGTGCGTGCGTGCGTGTGTGTGTTTGTGTGTGCGTGTGTGTTTGTGCGTGCGTGCGTGTGTGTGTTTGTGTGTGCGTGTGTGTTTGTGCGTGCGTGCGTGTGTGTGCGTGTGTGTGTGTGTGTGTGTGTGTGTGTGTGTGTGTGTGTCAGGGACAACGGCATACCTTGTGTTCTTCCATGACTTTGGCCAGCAAGACCATTGCTTCAAACCGGTGCGTGCTTTGCCCCATCTCTGTCCGTGTGCTAGCAGCTACGAACGGGACAAGCACCTCGCTGCTCGTTCACATACCCATGTGCCTTGGTGGTGCATCGTTTTCACACGCGCGCGCACACACACACACACACATGATGCTGCTGCAGATTCGGAAGTTCGTGAAGGACAAGTATGACAGTTTCTTGACACCCACACCTGCAGAACTGGCGGAGATTGAGCAACTCAAGCAAACCCAAACAGCGCAGGCAGCAACAGCAACAGCGGCTGCGCAACACGCATCAACACAATCATCAGCCACATCACAACAGTAGCTACATCCACGTGATGCGCGCGCGTGTGCGAGTTTGTGTTTTTGTATCCGTATGTGTGTCCCTGTTTGTTTGTGTGTGTGTGCATGTCCCCGTTTGTTTGTGTGAAAGCCTCGCGTGCCTTCATGTCGTTGATTTGTTCGTCCCATCTTTACGGCTCGTCTCCATCATCCTTTCGAGTAATTGTACACAAGCTTGTTTTAGTAGTGCTGCACAGACAACCCTCGCTCGCCCTCTGGCTTGAGTGGCTTGCCTGTTTGCCATCAATACACAGACATTGAACCTTCACACGAAGAGAAGGGAAGAGCGTGTTGAGTCAACTGGGGGAAGGCAGGCGAGCAAGGCAGGAGGCAAGAAAGCACGCAATGGAACACCACGCAGCTATCATCGACACAACACCACCACCTCAAGCATCACGCACTGCGGCACATGTCCTCCTGCAACTACCCTCCGTACAGCACCGTCGAGTTGCCGTGCGTGACACACAACATGGGCGAACACGTGAAGGGGATATCATTCATGGCTGGCGCTTCTGCCCAGCGTCCACGGCTTTGAAGAAGTACGGTTGGCTCTTGTACAGTGTATCTCCTTGTGCGTCCTCCAAGAACACGTGTGCAGTCATATCCACACTCCCCTAAAACACAAAACATAAGGCCCGCACATATGAGAAAGCAACGTGTGCGCGATTCCGTGCAACGCACAAGTCACACTGACACAGACAGACAGACAGACACAGACAGACAGACAGACAGACACACGCACACACACACCCCAGAAACTTGTCATGCCAACTGACTCTGAACGGAATGTGGAGCTGTGTCTCGAAGAAATGGCTGCTGGTTACATCCATCAGGGCCTCGTGCACAGCTGTTGACAACGACGATGACGATGATGACGGTGCTCCTGGTTTGCTGGTGCTGGGCTGCTTTGTTGACTGGCAGGAGACGCGCAGGCGTGCACACGTGATGGCGCTCCCTGCACACAGTAATCACGCATGCACAGCAGTGGTCAACAAATCAATTTGGAGGTGGAGGGGAGCATGTGTGGCATGAGCAGCGCCCATGCGTTTTACACGTGTGCACGAAATAATGGTCATGTGCATACGTGTGTGTCAGCACAATCACAGCCACAACCATGACAGTCGCCGGGCGTACGTTTCCTGCGGTTGACGGGCGGCGGTCTGAAGACGCCCTGCATGCGCAGCATGAGGCTGTCGCGGTGGAGCACCCGGATCACGTTGCCCGCGTCGCACCGCGGCGTGAAGTACAACTGGACAGCAGCAGCAGCAGCAAACAGGCAGTCAATGTGTGTGTGTGTGTGCGTGTGTGGTGAGTTGCGTGAGTGAGTAGCCAACTGCGGCATCAAGGGACTTAAAGGCGTGTCATCATTATGTGAGTGAGTGAGTGAGTGAGTGAGTGAGTGAGTGAAAGTTCATCTCCATCCCCACCTCGAGGGAGAGATCTGGCTCTGCGCGGAAGAACGAAGGCGGGTACGGGAACGGTACACATACGCAGAAGCGAACAATACGTCGCATCGCCTGTGGCGCATTCGAGACGTGGTGGGGGCGGCGAGTGTGGGCAAAATGGTGATGTGTGTGTGTGTATGGAAGGGGGGGGCAGTCGAAGGGAAGGCGTGAGGACCTGCGCACGGAAAAGGCACAAGTAGCGGATGCACAACGCACCACAACGGCGTAACACACACACACACACACACACACACACACACACACACACACACACACACACACACACACACACCTCTGGGGCGGGGAGGCGGTGCAGGGAGGAGATGAAGTGTGCAATGGCTGCGGCGGACGGAAGCGGGTGAATGAGGGCGAGGCATCCCTCAAGCGCACGCGCGTCAAAAACACACGTACCGCTGCCGTCACCGCGCTGACGCCTGCATGCGAGAGGCATAGCACGTGCGGCGGCGATTGGTGAGAACCTTGGTACTGCCGTCCAACAAGGAAGTAATGACTTCACACGCATACAAGCAGCCGCCCGTTGTCCACTCCTCATACACGGACACCATTCCAGAACACAACAACAACAACAACAACAACAACAACAACAACAACAACAACAACAACAACAACAGCAGCAGCAGCAGCAGCAGTTAGTGTACGTGCGTACGTTGCGAGGGCGTGAATTGCCATGTCGAGCAAGAGCTTGCTGTAGTGCAGGACGGCCTGTGATGTCGGATCAAGGTTGAAGGTGGCTTCTGCCAATGCAACCACCTGTCGTCGCAGCTCCTGCGCATCCTCGTCCAGCACGCACAGCTCCTGCTGTGCAGCGTCTGATATGTTCACACACACACACAGCCACACACCCACCAAGTATGTAGGAGCGAGTGGTGGTGTCACAGAGCAGTGAGAATTGTGCGAAGAGGTGTACCATGAGCAGCAGTGGAGAGGTGAAGATGAGTTTGGGGCAGTAACAGCAGAACAGCAGCAGTGTTGTGGTCTACCTTCGTGTAGCGTGCACAGCTGTGATGAAAACTCCAAGAACCCTGTCGCAGACACTCCGTGTGAGTTGCAAGAACACATCACACAAGACGCAGACACAAACAAACAAACCAACAAACAAACAAACCAACAAACAAACAAAGAAACAAACAAACAAAGAAACAAACAAACAAAGCGACGCACCTCTGCGAAAGCCGAGGAAGCCGCGGAGAAAAGAGCCCGCATGCGGGTGGAGCGCTGTTGGCAAGAGACTGCTGCATGTGTTGAGACGCGTTGCTGCAAGCTGCAGCGATGCCGCCTGCTCCGCCGACACCCGCTGGGCGTGGGTGCTCGTCGCATTGGCAACCTGGGCCTGTGCTTCGGCTTCAAACACGGCGGAAAGAAACGACAGCCAGCCGTCGTAGGTGGTGTTTGTGTCGCGCACACCGCCATCGTCCAAGCTTACCCTCTTGTCAGCGGCAACTTCACGTGCCGCCGTGGTAGCCTCTTTGTTCTCCTGCTGCTGTTGTTGTTCTGGTTGGTCGTCAACGCCAGCAGCAGCATCGTCGTCGTCGTCGTTGTCATTTTCATCATCGTTGTCATCGCTGTACCTGTTGCAGTGCAGCAAATGCATCCGCACGCGTTGGAAGAGGGCGTGCGCGGTAGCATGCTGGCCCTGCACCGCTGCTTGTCTCGCGCACACGTACAGGGACCAGGAAGAGTTCAGAACAAAGTGCGGCAATGGTGGTGGCGGCGAGGGTGCCAATGATGACTGCTGTGATGGCGACACGGTTGACAGGTGTATCGCGGGTGTTTCTGACAGCGACGAAGCAGTTGATGCCACCCAGGGTGTGGCCACTGTTGCTGCAATTCTGCGTTGTATTCTCTCCTGTAGCTGTGTGAGGGCCGGCGTTGGGTCGTGGTCGCTGCTGGTGCCAGCGCTACACAGCACCTTGACAGTTGCCGTTGTGCCCGCGAGCGCATGCACACGGATGAGCGACGAAAGCACGTCACAAGACACCGCCGTCACGCTGTTGTCCTGTCCTTTGTCATCTGACGGCAGAAGCGCGCTCAGGTGCGTCAGCGTTGCTTGCTCCAAGCGCACGTGAGGCACGCCTGCAGCAAACCGAAGGAGAGACAACCACAGGGAGGCAAACAGTCGCGTGTGCCGCTGCTGTCGGTGCCGCTGTCGCTCATCCTTGGAATGGCCCCGTCTGCTCGCTCGTGCGTGTTCTGTTGCACTGTGCACCCGACACGCGTCGCTGAACCACCCAGCGGTGGCGCTGGCCAGAGAGACCAAGTCCACCACACCTGTGCCCTGTGCATCACACATTGCGGTCGCTTGTGTTGCAGCGGGAGCGGCAGTATCGGTCACATCCTCGCACAGCTGACAAACAACAGCAATGGCGCCCCGAAGCGCTCGCTCCGTCCCTTCCTCATGGTCGTCGTCCCTGTCACCCATACGGGCATCGTCATTGTCATCGCTGTTGCCGGTGATGTTGCTGTTGCTGTTACAGCTGTTGTTGGTGGTGGTGACACTGCACTGCCGTTGACGTGTGTACGCACGAATGGCGTCGACAGTGAGCGCTGTGCTCTCGACCGCCAGCTGCTGCAGCTCCAGCCGTGACGGCAGCACCGCACCACCTCCATTTGCATCTGCACGTGTGTCCATCGCGACGTCATCATCGCCGTCAGCATCAGCATCAGCATCAGCATCAGCATGGCGCAGGTCTTGGAGTTGTGCAATGGCGAGCAGCACGCGCGCTGCTGCCAGCGGTGTGTGTACATCAGACGCACACAGGGACATGGCTATGACCTGATCCAATGCGCGCAGCTGTAAGCTGGTGGGAACGTCAAACGCAGCTGCATTCATCACGTCTGCAAATACATCCAGCGCTGGGCCGGCCCTGCTGCCTCGCATCATCAATGACAAACCTTCACCAGCCCCTTCATCACCCTCACTACCATCACCCCTATCAGCGCCGTCCCTGCTGCCATCATCATCGCCCACTCGCGGCACAAGGTCGAGCACGCGTGCTGCTGCGTCCAAGTCAAAGGTGTGGCCCAGCGCAGGCGAAATTCGCTGCAGCGCCCGCAGTGCACGCGCTGCCACCGCTGCCGTGTGGTGGTGGTGGTGGTGGTCGTCGTCGTCGTTGGAGTCGTCGTCGTTGGAGTGGTGGACATTGTCGTCAGTGTGCTTGCTGCTGCTGGTGCCGTCGTTGGGGCTGCATGCGATCGAGAGGAGGCGATGGATGTGCGCGTGCGTGTCGTTGCTGGCGCGAAGCACCAGATGCTCAATGGTCGTGAAGAGCGGCTCAATCAGATTCCTTCATTGCAGAGCAAGGGGGAATATGGATGGTGAGCGACGTGGCACACAAAACAGCGAGCAACATCTAAATTATATGTGGATACAGACACAAAGGCACAAACACAGCTGCGTACACTGAACTGCTACCTACGGCGAAAAACAACCAACGAACCAACGAACCAACGAACCAACCAAACAAACAAAACAAAGGTGGCAACGGACGTTGGGAGGGCCGAGTGGATGCAGTGCCAGCAGACGTCGAGGCTGGCGGGGACAAGATCGGCGACAGTTGCGGTGGAGCGAAGCAGAGCCAGTGCCGCAACCCGCACGGCAGGCGTTGCACCAAGGTCGTCCATCGTCTCGGCAGCCTGCGCACAGGGAGGAAGACAGTCACAAGAGATGCGTGTGAATCATGTTGAGCAGCAGCGTATGGGGCACGGCAAGGGGGTGGGATGCACGTCACACATATAGCGGGCAAGCAAGCTGAATCATGTGTGTCCAGGCATTATGTGGAAGGCGCAGGCAACGTCAGGGGAAGAGATGAGTGGTGGTTGACATGCCGGAGGGGGTGCACGCACCGCAGCGAACGCCTCTCGACAAAAGTGCGGGCTGTATCGGCAGTAGATGGCGGCTGTCTTTGCTGCTGCCAGGGCCTCTGTCTCCTCCTCACTGCCGAGTGCACGCGTGATGTGGGCGTGCAGTTCCGTGAACTCCGCAAACTGCGGAGCCAGCAGCGCAAACAGCCTGCAGCAGCAGACGTGTGGTGGCGGTGGGGGGAAAGAGGAAGACAGCATAGTTGAGAGAGAAAGTGTGTGTGTGCATGCGTTGTACGTGTGTGTGTGTGTGCGCGCGCAAGTTGTGTGCGTGCATAGATTGACACAAAGGGCGACATTGGTGGTGGCTCATCAGGGTTGTCTGGGTGTTGCTGGATATGAGCGCAACGAGGGCTGCTGGGTTTGCCATACCGCAGGGTGATGATGCGATCTGTTGTGTCGTTGCTGAGAAACGCGCGCTGCAGCCTGCCAAGCAAGTGTGTGTGTGTGAAAAGATGAGGTTCGCGATGGCGCGATTGCTGACAAGCGAGCCAGTGCATGGGCCAGTGCACGGGGTGGGATAGCAGAGGTCGAGGGCGAGTGCATGCGATGCTTCCTAGCTCAGCACATGCAATGTACAACGACTGACATACCGCTGGAAGATCTCTTTCTTTGATCGGAGATGATCAAAGGCAGCGCGGCAGCGCTTCAACATCTGATACAGCTCCCACTTGAGGACAACGTCCCCTCTGTCAGCGGCCGGAAAGCACAGAACAACAACACAGAACGGCGACACGCGCAAGATGAGAGGAAAGAAAGCTTGTGGCAGCCGCCAAGGCAAGCGCATGCTTGTGTGTGTGTGTGTGTGTGTGTGTGTGTGTGTGTGTGTGTGTGTGTGTGTGTGTGTGTGTGTGTGTGTGCTAGAAGGGTCGAACCACCAATCTACATACAGATACACACGTGAGTGGTGACGGCGTGTGTTTTCACACAGACAATAGGAACTTGATCACGGCAGTAACAACTGCGCCTTGCTTACGTGCGAGGGTAAAAGTCGGCGATGCGAAGCATGAAGGTGGTGATGACTGCTGGGGAAGGGTACTCGTTGATGATTTGTTGCATGTTGCCCAGCGACTCCAGCTTGGCGAGTGGGCCCGCCCTCGCAAACGCTGTCAAAAAAAAAAAAAGAACCGTGACAAGTGCGCACACCGGTGAGGTTGGGTGGGAGGCAATCGGGGTACTTCTGCCAGAGGGAGGGGGGTTAGGGGCAATTGACAGACGCATAGAGCGATCGGAGGAGGGGGTTGGGGTGGGGGTGGGGGTTCGGCGCAGGCACACACGCAGCAACAAGCAGACATAGTGACAGAGAGAGAGAGGCAGAGAGATAGAGAAGCAGAGAAGCAAAGAGACAGAGAAGCAAAGAAGCAAAGAGACAGAGAATCAAAGAGGCAGAGGCAGAGGCACAGACAGACAGACAGACACACACACACACACACACAGACACACAGACACACAGACACACAGACACACAGACACACAGACACACAGACACAAGTCAACTCACCCTCCCATTCCGTGGTGATGCGTCGCAGTGCAGTGTGTGGTGCGCCGGCGAGTGCTGGTGCTGCTGTTGTTGGTGGTCCTTGAGGCTGCTGCCTCACTCTTCGCCCCGCCATCCTTCTGTCCTTTGCCACTGTCGTTTGTGTCAGCAGAAAATAGTGCTGATGCGGATGATTGAGCGATGATTTTCGCCAATGCTCATTTCACCCCGCGAACGCCTTTGTGACGGCAGACAGCAGACAGCGAGCGGAGTGGAGTTTGTGTTGACTGAGCAGCAGCAGCGACAGACAGGAGACAGACAGACAAGCAGACAGGGGAGAGGCAGACGACTGTCGCTGCTACTGCTGCTGGTTGTAGTTTGTCTTCCTCAACCGCACAGTGGCGCTGTGTTTGCTGGTGGGACGGAAAAGCAAGCACACGTACTTTGCGTTGGACGCTGCGACAGCATCAACATCACTAGCACCAGCAACGACAACACCAGATACCAGACAACACAACAGCACCAGGCTCTTCTTGCTTTGATTGATTGATCCCCCCTCTCCTCCCACACGCACACAGCCATGGAGTGGGCTGAAGATCCTCGTGAGTTGCCCGTTTATGATGGGAGTGTTGGGTGGTGTGTTGGGTGGTGTGTTGGGTGTTGGGAGTGAGTGGGGTGTATTTGCTCGTGTGGTGTGCTGGTGATGATGCGCGTACACTCACACACACACACACATGCACACACGTACACATGCACACACGTACACATGTATACACGTACACATGTGCACACACACACATGCACATACGTACACATGTACGCACTCGTACACATGCACACACTCGTACTCATGCACACATGCACACATTGTACTGCAACTGCGTTCACATTCGTCGGCATTCATGCAACCACATGTACCCAACCACAAATACACTCACATCATCAACGCATCAGAATATGTCGGAGACATCTCGTCTCAGGAGTGGCCGCAGGGATGCTGGGACGTGATCAACGCATACTTCAACGAGAAAGGTCTTGTGCGGCAGCAGCTTGACTCGTTCGACCACTTTATCCAGTACGGCATCCAGGACGCCGTGGAGAAGAGCCCTGCTTTGGAGATTGAGGCAAAACCCCAGTACACAACCAACGAGTTTGAAGAGCCGGTGCGTGCGTGTGTGTATATGTGTGTGTATATGTGTGTGTGTGTATGTGTATATGTGTGTGCGTGTGCGTGTGCGAGGTTTGTGCGTTTGAACAATACATGTGCCCGTGCTCTTATGCTTGCGTGCATTCGTCTGCACGTCTCTGAGTGCGCCAGCACATCTTTGGTAGTGTGAGATACACACACACACACACACGCACGCACGCACGCACACACACACACACGCACAGACACACACGCACGCACGCACGCACAGACACACACGCACGCACGCACGCACAGACACACACGCACACACGTACACTTGCTCACACTACCTCTCATGGTATTGTTTTTTGTCTCACACACTTTTTTCTTCAACGTGCACCTCTGATGTTAATACCATGCAGCCGAGCTACAGCGTCAAGTTCTGCGAAGTGTCTCTCAGCAAGCCCACACATTACGAGGAGGTGAGCAAATGTGTCTGCGTGGAACACAGCCTGCTCTCGCGTTGTCTTGTTCTGTGTGGCCACACTTCAACCCTGCCACCGAAACTATGATGAAGTTTTGTTCTTGGTGCACACCTGGCTCTCAACCTGCGTTGCTTCCACCCATCAGGACGGCACGAGCCATTTCCTGTACCCCAACGACGCGCGCTTGCGCAACTTGACGTACTGGTCGGAGATGTTTGTCGAGGCCGAGGAGACCTATCGCGAGACACAGGTGCGCCCGTCACCCTGTGCTGTGCTATTCCGTGCTGTGCCGTGTTGCGTGACGCAATTGCTTTCCACCAACTAGCGGTTCGGCCTTGCACCCTCCCCCCCCACACACACTCTCTCCCTCCTCACTCTTTCCCTCGCTTTCCTCTCCCCACTTCCCCACCACTATGCTTTCTTTCGTGCACGAGCAGGACAGCGAGCCAGAGACGACCACGACGTCTGTGCATCTCGGCAAGATCCCGATTATGCTGCGCTCCAAGTTCTGTCTTCTCAACGGCAAGCTAAACGACGACCTGTACAACCTCAACGAGTGCCCGCTCGACCCCGGTGGCTACTTCATCATCAACGGCTCAGAGAAGGTGCGCAGACACGAGCACTTGACGGGGGTGGCTGATGGGTGATGGGTGATGGCTGGTGGCTGTGCACGTTTGCGTTGTGCACATTGCATGTTGTGTGTGCTTGTCTTGCGATGGCCCTCTCCAACACGCTACCACCGCACGTTTACACCCCACATTTCCTTCGCTGGTGCGTTTGTCTTCGCTCCCCTCCCCACAGGTGCTGCTGGCACAGGAGAAGATGGCGCCAAACACCGTCTTCGTCTTTGAGAAGAAGGATCCAAAGTATCTCTTTGTGACGGAAATCAAGTCCGTGCTCGAGCGCAGCCCGCGCCCGCCAAGGTTCGTCTGCCACTTGATCAGTTTTATGTCTGGGAGTGGAGAGAGACAGAAAGAAAGGAGGAGGGGTGTTGCCATCGTAAAGCACATGTGATGTGCATCTACCTCCAGCTCGCCCACTTTTCCTCGTGCTCTCGCCTATTTGACTTTGACTGTGTTCTTTTCGCTTGCTTCTGCGCCTCTGAACTTGCTCATCACACACCTCATTTGGGTCTTGGTTCTTCTGACACGCATTGTGCCACGATGCACTGCAGTTCGTTGCTTGTGAAACTGCTGCGGGGATCACAGAGCGCTGCCCGGAGCGGCCCCGTAAGTCGACAGCTTTGTGTATTTTTCCTGTGAACACCCACACACACACACACGCACACGCACACACACACCCAAACACACAAGCAGATACACACACACAAGCATTCACACCCAAACACACACAAGCATACGCACACAAGCACACACACACACAAGCATACACACAAGCATACACACAAGCATACACACGCATCCAAGTACCGGTATACAGCTCCAGCTGACTGTCATTCAAACTTCCGTTCCCCCCTTCTCTCTCTGTCTCTGTTTGTCTCTGCGTGTCTGTGCCAGGTGCTGCACGTGACACTGCCGTATGTGCGGCAGGATGTACCGGTGGTCGTTGTGTTCCGCGCGCTCGGATTTGAGGACGACAGGTCCATTTTGGAGCACATCATCTACGACTTCAATGACATGGAGATGATGGAGATGCTCAAGCCGTCGCTGGACGAGGCGTTTGTCATCCAGAACAGGGACGTTGCTCTGGACTGGATTGGCAAGCGCGCTGTGCAGAGCCCGGCCATCTCCAAGGAGCGCCGTATCCACTACGCAAAGGACATTCTGCAGAAGGAGCTCCTGCCCCACATTGGCCTCGGCCCACACTGCGAGACGAAGAAGGCGTTTTTCCTCGGCTACATGGTGCACCGCACGCTGCAGGCTGCCCTGCGCCGCCGCCAGCTCGATGACAGAGACCACTATGGCAACAAGCGTCTTGACATGTCTGGCCCGCTCACGGGCTTTCTCTTCCGCACTCTTTTCCGCAACGTCACAAAGGAGGTGCGCCTGGTGTGCGTGTGTGTGTATGTGTATGTGTGTGTGTGTGCACGTGTGCGTGTGTGCGTGCGTGCGTGTGTGTATGTGTGTGTATGTGCGTGCGTGCGTGCGTGTGTATGTGTGTGTATGTGTGCGTGTGTGGGCTTTTCTCTGGGCGCTTTCATGTCGGTGGTTATTGTCGATGTCTGTCGTCCACAACGGGCGTCAAACAGTTGCTGTACGCACAGGCTTACATGTACACATTTTCCACCTTCTCCCCCCGCACACACACACACACACACACCTTTTCCCTCGCTTGTCGACTGCAGCTGAGAAGCTACATCCAGAAGAAACTCAACCGGAGCGAGGAGATTAAGCTCAGTGCCGGCCTCAACGTACGTTGCGTGTATGCCTTACTTGCTTGCACATCTGCATCGCTCGTCACACACACGCACTTCGAGCTCGCATGCCAAAAAAAGGCCAACGTTTATCTTTCACACACAGACGCGCACACACAGACACTTGCTTCATGTGCTCACATGTTCATGCCTGCGCCCAATGCACACGCGTTTGCTCGACCCACACGACAGTCAAAGCAGATTGAGAGTGGGCTTCGGTACTCGTTTGCGACGGGTAACTGGGGCACGCAAGCCAAGGCCTTTGAGGCACGCGCTGGCGTGTCGCAGGTGCTGAACAGGCTCACGTTTGCCTCCACGCTCTCGCACCTCCGCCGCCTCAACTCGCCCATTGAGCGCACGGGCAAGATTGCCAAGCCACGGCAGCTGCACAACACCCACTGGGGATACATCTGCCCTGCAGAGACACCGGAGGGCCACGCTGTTGGGCTGGTGAAGAACCTTGCGCTGATGGCGTCGGTGACGGTTGGCGGCGACGCAACACCTGTGCTTGAGCTGCTCAACTCCATTGGCATGGAGAGCCTTGATGACCTCGCATCAAGATCCGTCATCAGGGAGTAAGTCCAATGCAGAATAGGATTGATGAAGGGAGCGGTTGTTTGATTGGTTGGTTGGTTGGGGCAAGAGGGGGGGGAGGCGTGTGCGTCATGTCGTTTCCACTTTGCCAGCGGTGTGGTTGATGTGATATTTTGACCTGAAGCATTTTCATTTAGAGCACAGCCTTTTGTTCCAACACACACACACACACGTGCATGCACTTGCTCCGCCCCCCCTTCCGTCTCTCACCACCCTCCCTCCTTCCACCAATCTGTCCCTACGCTGCTTGATGTGGTGATGTGCAGTACGACGAAGATCTTTGTGAACGGCGCGTGGGTTGGCATCCACATGGAGCCCGAGGAAGTGGTGCGGAACCTGCACCTCTGCCGCCGCACACAGGCCGACATGATTCAGAGCGAGGTCTCCATCTTCAGGGACATCCGCGAGCGCGAAATCCACGTCTACTCAGGTCTTCATCCCATGTCTCTCGTCTTGGTGTTGCTGTGTTGGTGTTTGCAGGTGGTTAAGAGTGCGTCTGTCGCTTTTATATGTTGGTATTTTTGGTGCCCAGTCAGTAATCCTGCGTGTGTGTGTGAACGTGACGGCTGTACGCCAATTACCCCTGGCATGGACACACGCTCACACGCTCACACGCTCACACGCTCACACGCTCACACGCTCACACGCTCACACGCTCACACGCTCGCGCGCTCACAGACTCTGGGCGGTTGACGCGGCCGCTGCTGATTGTGGAGAAACCCGAGTTGGATGACACGTTTCACGATGGCACACAGCAGCAGCAGACACTCGCCCTCAAGAAACAGCACCTTGAGAAGCTGCAGAGCGTAAGAGTCGCCTCCATCCCTGCCTAACGCCAACGCCGCATTGCATGGAATGTTTGCGTGCATGCGTGCATGAGTGTGCGTATGTATGTGCCCTTGAGCTGCTTGTTGCTGTCACCTGAATGTATGTTAGCCTGCAAGGGGCCTTTGTTTCCAACAGGGACACCTATGCGAGCGCATCATCTCACATTCACACACGCTCTCATGCCAACCACAACGACTTTTTTTTATCGCCAACGGCATGTTACAGGCTGCGATGCAGAATGCGTTTGAGGCGACATACTCTTGGAGCGATCTCGTGCGCGAGGGGCTGGTCGAGTACATTGACGTCAACGAAGAAGACACCACCATGATTGCAATGTACGCACCCCGCCCAGTCGCCACTTTCTTTCTCTGTGCGCGGTGGTGATGCTGGATTGCCATGCATACCTCGGCCACACTTGCTTTGTTCGGTCCTGCTCAGGCCATCTCTAATCCTTGTTCGTTTCACACACACACACAACATACACACACAACACACACACACACACACACACACACACACACACACACACCACACACACCACACACACACACACACACACACACCACATCCGTGCTTTGCTGACAGGACGCCGGACGATTTCGAGATGAGCGATGAGCAGGACCTGTACTGCACGACGTACACGCACTGCGAGATCCACCCGAGCATGATTCTCGGCATCTGCGCGTCCATCATCCCCTTCCCCGACCACAATCAGAGTCCCCGTAACACGTACCAATCTGCCATGGGCAAGCAGGCCATGGGCATCTACACCACAAACTTCCACATCCGCCTCGACACGCTCGCCCACGTCCTTTACTATCCACAGCAGCCGCTCGTCAAGACCAGGTGCGCCCACATGCGTGTGTGTGTGTGTGAGTTAGTTGCGTGCCTGCATCGTTGGCACGTGTCTGGGTCATTTGCACGTGCATGGGTCATTGGCACGTGCTCGTGTGCACATGTGCAGATGCATGTGCGGCTCAGTTCGTGCACAATGGCACGCACCAAAGCCTTTACCTTTCATGTGCTCGTCACAACTCATCCCACCCCCACCTCGTTCTTCTCCTTCTTGTCGGTTGTGTTCAGGTCAATGGACTACATGTACTTCAAAGATTTGCCTGCAGGCATCAATGCCATTGTTGCCATCATGTGCTACACGGGCTACAACCAAGAGGATTCCGTCATCATGAACAAGTGCGCCGTCGACCGCGGCCTCTTCAGGTACTGTCGAAGGCTCGAATGCGTGTGCGAGATTCGTGTGCGAGATTCATGTGCATGATTTGTGCGTCTGCATGCGCATGCGTATATGCTGGAGCGGTGCTGTCGAAACAGTGCCCTGCACGTTTCACGTCACGATATTGCGCACCTGTGACATGCCACACGCCTCTTCCCTCTGCTCTTTGTTCACGTTGCCTGTCCATGTTGTTGCCCCCACCCCTTGTGCTGCCGTGCCAGGTCTGTCTTCTACCGCTCGTACGCGTCATCGGAGGAGAACACGGGCCGCGAAGTCATCAAGTTTGAGAAGCCCTCCCGGGAGACGTGCGCAGGCATGCGCAACTCAAACTACGGCAAGGTGCGGTTCTTCTTGTGTGTGTGCGATTGCCTTTGCGTTTGTTGTGGGGTTTGCGATTGTGCTTGTGCTTGTGCTTGCGCTTGTGCTTGTGCTTGTGCTTGTGCTTGTGCTTGTGCTTGTGCTTGTGCTTGTGCTTGTGCTTGTGCTTGTGAATGGATGCATTTTCATGCGTGGCAAGAGCGTGGTGTTTGTCCTCACCAGTAGCACGCCCCTTCCCTCCCCACACAGCTTGAGGACGACGGGCTGATTGCGCCGGGGACGAGCGTGACTGGCGACGATGCCATCATCGGCCGCACCATGGAGCTCCCGCCCAACGCAGAGGCGCGCGACAGCCGCCTTGCCCGCTTTGAGAAGCTCGACAAGAGCGTGTTCCTGCGCGCGAGCGAGAACGGCATCATTGACCAGGTCATGGTTGCCATGGGACCAAAGGGGACCCGCTTTGTCAAGATTCGTGTCCGCTCCATCCGCGTGCCACAGGTGCGTCTCCCATGTTGTTTTCTGTCTGCATGGTTGTGTGCCCGTCGATGTGCGCACACACCGTCGCGCCGCTGCGTTCATGTGTGTGTGTGTGTGTGTGTGTGTGTGTGTGTGCGTGCATGCGTGCGTGCGCGCGTGCGTGTGTGCGCGTGCGTGTGTCTCCAAGTTCATGGCCGAAAATTTTTGTTGAAAGCACCCATCCTTCTAGCCCCATTTCAACACATGCTTGCTGTCTCTGCTCCCTCCTTGAGCTATGTGCGTGCGTGTGTGTATTTTTGCTGTTCACAGCATCAGCTCACCGGTCACATGACTGTCCTGTTGTGTTTTGCCACTCAACCACCTCGGTAGATTGGTGACAAATTTGCCAGTCGCCACGGACAGAAGGGTACCTGCGGAATGCAATACAGCCAGGAGGACATGCCGTTCACCTGCCAGGTTTGGTAGTTGTTGATTGTGAGCGTCGTTAGTGTTGTTTCACTCAAAGTACATCTCTTGATAACCCTTTGCTTTCTTGCTCCCAACTCACGCGAATCACGCCTTCTCACCATCACCACCACCACCACCACCACCACCTTGCCCCATCCTGACGTGACATCATATTGCAGGGCATTACGCCTGACATCATTGTGAACCCGCACGCCATTCCGAGCCGTATGACCATCGGGCACTTGATTGAATGTCTGCTGGGCAAGGTTGGCTGCCTGGAGGGTGCATTTGGCGACGCAACGCCCTTCATCGAAGTCACCGTCAACGAAGTCGCCAGCGCTCTCGGTGCGTTGACCGGCTTGCTGCTGCTGGCTGTTTCGTCTTTGTACTTGGTGTTGGTGGTCTTACCATTTGGAGACTGTTATGCGATATTGGTTCGCGTTCTTGCCGCGAAACAACGAGCTCGACTTGAGGCCTTTTCTCGTCATTCTACAGACGTTGGCGCATTGTGTTTTTCCTTCTTCTTCGCCCTTCTGTCTTGTTCCTGTCTTGTTTCTGTCTTGTTTTCTCATGCAACACCCCGTGTTTACTGTTCACGTGCACCACCAATGCAGAGGCACACAACTTTCACAAGTACGGCAACGAGGTGCTGTACAATGGCTTTACGGGGCGCAAGATGCAGGCGCAGGTGTTCTTTGGGCCCACGTACTACCAGCGCCTCAAGCACATGGTCGATGACAAGATTCACGCCCGCGCCCGCGGTCCGCTGCAGATTCTGACAAAGCAGCCCGTCGAGGTGCGGTATCTCGTGCCTGCATGCACGTGCCGTTGAAGTCTGTGACGCTTGAAAGCAACGCAGGGAGGGGGCGGAGGCTTGTGGTAGTTGCTGTTTGTCCTTTTTCTGCCTGTTTGCTAGCTGGTGTGGTTGGCGCTGCTATTCGCAAGAGCAGAAACATCAAGCGTTTTGATGAGTTACCCTTGTGCTGCTGTTGGTTTGGCTTTGGACTCACGCTCACGTCGTGCCTGCTTGTCTTGGACCAGGGTCGGTCGCGTGATGGTGGCCTTCGCTTTGGTGAAATGGAGCGTGACTGCATGATTGCGCACGGGTCTGCCCAGTTCCTTCGGGAGCGCCTGTTTGAGGTGTCGGACCCGTACCGCATCCACGTCTGCGACATCTGCGGCCTCATCTGCATCGCCAACCTCAACAAGAATGAGCTGGAGTGCAAGGCCTGCAGCAACACCACCAGGGTATGTTGTTGATTGTCTGTGCGTGTGTGTTTGTGTTTGCGTGTTGTGTTTGCGGTTGATTTTGCTCTCTCCCTAGCCCCTTGAATTTCCTTCTCACAGTCTGTTTCCATCACCCACACAATGCCACAATTGTCCCCCTTGTGTGTGTGTGTGTGTGTGTGTGTGTGTGTGCAGGTGTCACAAGTGCGCATCCCATACGCGTGCAAGCTGCTGTTCCAGGAGCTCATGTCCATGTGCATTGCACCTCGCATTATGACAGACAACTCCCATGCTTAGGCTTTCTCTCTTTGTGTGTATCGGCGTTTGTACGTGTTCATGTGCGCTCGCGTGTTCGTCCATCTGTGTGTGTGTGTGTGTGTGTGCGTGTGCGTTGGCGTTTCTCATCCTGCTCTCAACCAAAGAAAGAATGCGTCATGTGCGCCCGTGTGGGTGTAGTTCCTGTGACACTTGTGCTTGGTTGTGTGTTGTGTTTGTAACGACGGTTGCCCTTGCTCGTGCATGTATCGGTTAATGAAACCTTGCCAAAACCAAAACCAAAGCCACATCGTCACGATCACGCAAGCGCATGAGCGAGCCAACCAAACACACCCACACACACCCACACACACCCACACACACCCACACACACCCACACACACACACACACACACACACACACACACACACACACACACACACACACACACAAACAGGGAGAGAAACGAACCAGCACGCATCAACACAATGACAAGTGAGTGTTTCTTGTACGGGCATAGCAGGTGCACATGCGGCGAGCAATTTCAGCGCAGCCCGAGCCAGCGGGCAGGGCAAGGAAGCATCAACACCAGCAGGATGGTTTTGTACATGTCAATTAAGCATCGCAGGTTCTGTGTCGCATGTGTGTGTTGTGTGCCACATCAAGAAGAACAAGAAGAAACAAGCTGGAAAGAGCACTAACGACGACGACGACGACGACGACGACGACCACCACCACCACCACCACAATGGTGTCAGGAAGGTTGCTTGGCTTGCAACTTCTCTGTTGCGCGCTTGTGGATATGAAGCAGGTTCTCCTTCCTGTCCAGTAAAGACCCGCCAAGGTTCGAGTTTGGCGTGGACTTGTCTGCTGGGTTGAATGGGTTTGGTCTGTGCACGGGACCGTCGTTCCACACCAGATCAAATCCTCCGACACGAACCTCGTCTCCAACGCGCCTAGCGGTGTGTGTTGGGTTGGGGGATGGTGAAGGAATAAGTTTCGCGCAACCGGCTCGTGATAACTCAAAACAGAGACATGGGCAAAACACCAATTTGCAGAGCATACAGCAAGCAGTGATCTCAAACACCCATCCACACACCCATCCACACACGCACACGCACACACACACATACACATACACACACACACACACACACATACACACACACACCTGTCGTCGATGTTGATGACGGTGAACATGTCCTCGAGCATGCCGTACTTGAAGCGATAGTCTGAAGCGGTGTCTGCGGTGAGGGATGGGGAGGCGTTCACCTCAATCAGCCAGGGCTTGAGATCTGCGTCAATGAGAATGTCAAAGCCGTACAGCTCAAAGCAGTGCTTGTCAGAGAACATGACCGGTTGCACGGCCTCTAAAGATGTCAGGATGATGTTGTCGACGTCGCGCAGGAACTTCTGCACGGCGGCGCGGCCGTGTCGTGCCTGCAGGTACCGCTTCACCTGTGACATGAGCCACTTGCACCCTTTGGACTTGTCGTAGTCTGCGGCCTGCTTCTGGATGGCGACGTTGGTCAGGTGCACAAAGGCGTTGCTCAGGTCCTCCATGGAGAAGGGCGCACCGGAGAAGCGGGCAAACCCTTCCCGGTAGAGCCAGAAGCAAAGCGGGTTGTACGAGGTTACAAGGATGTAGATGCGCAGGTCAAACTTCTTGCCGCCGATGAGGTATGGCCTCTGCAGGTAGCGCTGCACAATGTACGCCTGTTGGCGCTCGTCGTCGCGCTGCTGGTGGTCGAAGCGCGTGTCCCGCTTGAACTCCATGAGCTCCGACAGCTTCGAGACAAGGAAGATGCCTTTGCCTTGCGCAGAGCCAACGGGCTTCATGATCCACACGGTACCCGGCTTGCGCTTGAACTCCTCCACAAACATGCGGTAGTCGTGTGGAAGCCAGAACGTTTCTGGCATAAAGTCGCAGCGCTTGGCGGCGGCCTTTCCTTCCTCGCGCTCCAGCTTGCGCTTCATCTTCTTGACGTTCTTCGCCATGTGGTCCTTTCGCGTGAGCTCGTAGTGTGTTGGGAAGTGCGGCACGCGCGCGTGGTCTGGTAGCTGGCGGCCATCAAAGGCCTCCCGCACCCAGCCTACATCACACCAGTTCATGTCCCATTCCTCCTGCCCTTGCACCTGCTGCCACCCCAAGTGCGTCATGACATCCACCACCGTGTTGACAAAATGCGTTCTGAAGCGAATCACCCTCCGTTCTCCAGGCAAGCTGCTGCGCGGCAGCACCACCTGCGTTCCCGAAGACCCGCGCTTCTCATCAGCACCACCTCCACTATCGCCACCACCGCTGCCGCTGCCGCTGGTGCGATCTGTCATCGTCGTCGTTGTCGTCGTTTGTTGCCAACAGAGTTTGGTTTGGTTTGTGTGCATTCATTTTATGCTGTGGTTTGCTGCTTTGCCAACGAACCGCTACCAACCAAACAACTGCAACCACCACACAGCCACACACGGCGAAGATGAGCGCTCATCGTGGCAAGTCGCGGCTGGAGCAGATACAGGTCCGGCTGAGGCAGCAGATCACAAGCGCACAGCAAGGCCAGTTGTCTGCACTACAAGAGCGCAAGCGCGTCCTCGAGCAGGAGGTACGTGTGTGTCTATATATGTGTGTATGTGTGTTTGGAACAATGCCCATTGTTGTTTTGTCGCACTGTGTTATGGTGATGTGATGGCGCATGTGTTGTGTGTGCGTGTGTGTTGTGTGTGTATGTATGTGTGTGATGTGTGTGTGTGTGTGGTAGCACTTACATATGCACTCACATACACCCAATACTCTCTCACATACACACACAACATGCGCGCACACACACGCACACAGCGACAAAAAGTGAATGAGCAACGCCGGGCCATCGAGGCGTTGAGAAACAAGTCTGTGCGGTCGCGCGAACAATCGTACACGCTTGCCGGTGGTTTGGACAGACAACGCTCGGCATCAGAGAAGCTGCTGAAGCCCAACATTCGATACCGAAGCCGACGCGTGGCACCGCTGACGGAAGAGCGGCGCTCGGCGCCACTGAACGAGCGACCGCGCCCGCCCGTCGAGCCGGAGGCCCGCTCCTCAAGCGCAAGCAAAGTCCATGATCGCCAGGTTGCCAAGAAGAAGGTCAAGCACCCTCTTGCCAAGGGCAACAGTGCAACAACCAGCCAGCCTTCCAAGGTACAGCGCATACCCAAACACACACATACACACACAGCAGAGTGTTGCGCTGGCGTGCTGGGCGACCGGTTTGCCATCATCATTCAGTCTGTGTTTTGTTGTATTGAGACAACCGACGCTCACAATTCCCTTTCATGCTTCATGTTATCACCAGCCACGTGCAACCAAGCCCGACACGGCGAAGCCGCAGAGCGACACCAGCAGCCCGCCCGGCCCGCTTCGGGACAGCGCTGAGGACGCGTTTTCGCAGTTTGAGGCGCACGCTGAGCAGCAGCGCCGGCGTGCACAGGAAGAGGCCGAGGCAGAAGAGAGGGAGCAAGAGCACCAGCGTGCCATCGAAGCAAAGCACCGCCGCAAGAAACTCGAGGTGTGTGTGTGTGTGTGTGTGTGTGTGTGTGTGTGTGTGTGTGTGTGTGTGTGTGTGTGTGTTGCGAACATGCCCCCTGATAATTTTTGTGTTCGTGTTGCGAGCATGCATACTTACATTGTTTGTGCTCAATTGTACTTGTGCTTTGTATGTGTATCGCACACGTGCACCAGGCGCTGAAGAAGCGGCAGGAGGAACGGCAGCAGCGCATGAAGGAGAGGGCAAAGGCCAAGGACGAGGAGCGACTGCGGAAGAAGCAGGAAGCAGAGGCGGCAGAGACCACCAGCCAGCACAGCAACGACAATGTCCAGGCAGCATCCCCTGAGCGGCCACTGCCGACAACTGGGGCGCAGAAACGCAGTCAGCACGCAACCCCACGCAAGACACCAGCACGCAAGCCCGCGCCAGCGGAACACACACAAGCTGAGGCGCCACGCGGCGATGATCGTACTGATGTGGCCACACCAGCGCCCACACACTCCCACAACAGCGACACCAGCGATAAGAGCAGCAGCAGCAGTAGTAGTTCACAGCGGGCGCCGCGGCCGCCACCAACACAGCAGCCGGCAGCGCGCGGGCGACGACAGGTGCGATCGGGTGCAAGGGCAAAGGGCACCAGCGCTACCAGCAGCGCCAGTGGCCGTGGTGGTGGTGGTGGTGGTGGTGGCAGTGGCAGTGGTGGACGGCAGCAGGAAGCGGAGAGGGCGCGACCCAAAGCGCCGGCGGGCGAACCGATCCGGCAGATGGTGGAGGAGCTCATGCCCGATGGCAGCGTGCAGATGATTGAGCTTGTTCTCTACCCGTGCCCAATCTGCGGCCGCAACTTCAAGCAGGAGAGGTGTGGTCGTGTGGTCGTGCTTGCGTGTGGCTGATGATCAAGTGTTGATTCGAGTTGTGGTGTGGCTGTCCTGGTCTCCCTCAGTGAAATTTTGTGTTGTGCGTACGTGCACTCATGCGTGCGCGAGGATGTTGTCTATTGTCATGTGCATGCTTTCGCCACACATCTGCGTTGTCGTTCACTCACGGTGACACCGGGGGTCGCCACCTCTCCTCTCCTCTTGGTCCTGCTGACACAGACTTGACGCCCACAAGCGCGCATGCGAGGCGAACAGCAAGAAAAAGAGAAAGAAGTTTGACATGACAAAGCAGCGGCTGAATGACCTGGGCCAGGACGCAATCAGAATGGCCAAAAACGCAAGCAAGACCGAAGTGAAATACAAGAAGAAGGCAAAGAAGGTGCGTGCATGCCCTGTTGGCGTCGGGCTGAACGTGCTTGCGCGCGCGAGCGTGTGCGTATGCATGTATGTATGTATGTACATGTGTGCAAGAGTGCATGCACACATGTGAGGATGGCTACATTACCTGGATGTGACGCTGGTGATGCTACGACACTTCTTGCTTTTTCCCCGTGTGCTCCCCAAACGCCTCGCACTTTGCTTACACCATCTTCATGTTGACGTGCAATCGTGTCTGCTGCCGCTGTCTCCGCGCGCGTGTGCAGAGCAACTGGCGGGCGAAACACCAGCAGTTCATTGCGGCGATCCAGTCGGCCAAAGGCGCGGACGTGGACGTGCCTGTCGTGGAGGACCCAGACCTCGTCAAGGTCCGCTGCTGATGGTGGCGGTGGCGGCGGCGGCGGCGATGTGGTGGTGCATTGTGGGTGGGTTGGTCGGTTGATGGGTGTGCTGTGTCTTCCACCTCCATCAAGTTGTTGACATACAACATCTTGCCGGCTGTTCTCACCTTCGCGCTGCGTGACTTCCTCCTTCATCTCATCTTGCCGCTGTATGTGTTACGTATGCAACCACCCATCACGCAGTGCAAGTTCTGTGGGCGCACGTTCAACGAGGATGCTGCGAATCGCCACATCCCCGTGTGCGAGCGCAACGCCAAGAAGAAGGCGATGGCGCAGGGCGGAAACTCCAAAGGCAGCAAGGGGACGCGCCGCCGCAGATAAACACACACACACACGCACACACACACACACACACACACACACACACACACACACACACACACACACACGATGCGTATGCGCGCACACACACACACACACACACACACACACACACACGATGCGTATGCGCGCACATCGTGCATGCGGGCCATGCACAGATAACCTGTGGACTCGTGAGTGGTGCCTTCGTTTGATTATTCGTTTTCTTTCCTCTTTGTGTCGTCATCGTGGCTATTGTAGTGCTCTCGGATGTATGTATGAGCGCACGGATGCATGTTTTGGCTGCAGGTGTCGGTGAATGCACCCACAGCAGCAGGAACAAATAGACAAAGACAACTGTGCGTGTATGAGAACGTGCGATGGTGTGTGTGTGTGTGTGTGTGTGTGTGTGTGTGTGTGTGTGTGTGTGTGTGGAAGTTATGCGACCAAGTTGATGCGCACGACGTGATCCAGGCCGCACGACGCCAAGTAGAGACCCTGCACTCCACCAAGCGATCAAACAAGCATGCAGGTGGTGGTGAGCCCGAACACGAACGAGACGTAGGCTGGTGATGGTTTTACGAAACAAGCAGATGCGCAAACAGAAAGAAACAACCAACAAAACGAGCACACAAACACAGACACAAGCACCAATACTTAACAATCGCACACACACACACAACACAAACGCACACACACACACACAGACACATCCACACACAGAGACACACAGACACATACAGACACATCCACACACACAACACAAACGCACACACACAGACACACCACCACACACACACACACACCTGCTGGTGTGCGGCGTCGTCGGAGCTGTTGGGGCGCCACTTGAGGCGGCGGACGGTTGCGCGGTGTGCCATGCCATCGTCAAGCACATGCACCTGCGCCCACGTGCTGCCGTTGTCTGCAGAGCGGTGGAGATGAACCGCCCCTTTGTCCAGCCCAACAGCCAGCATCAACGCTGACGATGAGGATGATGACGACGATGGTGACGATGAGGAGGGGCGGGTGTCGGCTGTAACGGCGAGGGCAGTGACGCTGTCTGGGAACTTGGGCAGCGTGCACGTGCACGTGGCCTCACCCGAGTCAGCAACGGCCCACACCTTCACGTGCTTGTCGCGCGCACCAGTGATGAAGTGCTTGCTGTCAGGCACCCATGCCACATCCCTGCATGTGTGCGTGTGTGTATGTGTCAGTGAACGTTTGGGGCGATGCAAGCGGTCTGGCAACAACAGTACAAGTGTGCGTATGTGTGTGTGTGTGTGCGTGTGTGTGTGTGTCAGCTCACCAGATGATGCGATCGTGTGCTTTCGCATGTGTAAATCGGAGTTCGTACGAAGGACCTGGTGTCACAGAAGCAGAAAAAGGTCAGACATTGTCGGATATGGATGGGCTGAGTCAATTGAAGTGAACAGGTGTGCGCGAGTCACAGCGGGAGTCAGCGGATGCGGGGTCAACGCATGATGAGTTCACCCCAGACAAACGCATGCACTGGCACTGGTGATACCTGCTTCTGTCTCGACGCGTTCGTACACGCAGAAGGCACGATCACGCGAAACGGACACGAGCCAGCGGTCGTCCGGAGAAAAGGAAACTTTCACCACCGTCAGCTTGTGGCCTGGAAGTTGTGCAACCTGCGAGCAAGCAAAGGCAAGAAGGAATCAAAACGCAGCACCATGAGTGCGGGGGGTCAACAACGTGATTAATTTCACGCAGTGCAGGCAGACGCAGACAGACATGCGCACATGCGCTTGCATACAGGCATGCACACGCGCATGTGCAGAATACCGAAGCAAACAACAACACACAGCCAAACACAACAAGCCCAGCAAGAGCGACACCAGCCCACAACGCACGCACCTCGAGGCCCGACTGAATGCTCCAGAGGCGAAGGGCGGCGTGTTCCGGTTTCGTGGCCTTGCACGCAGACACGAGAACGGTGCGCTGGTGGTCGCACGCCACGCACATGAGCTCATAACCGTGGCCGTACAGCTTGCGCGTCTCCGGCCACAGCGTGTTCTGCACCAGCTGCGCCTCAAACGGCGGCTCTGTCACCAACAGCGCGCACAACACAGCAAACGTGCAATGTGCGTGAGATACAGTATGGGGGAAGGGCGCTCCCTATGGCTCAAACTCGAAACACGGTCTTGTTCGAGTTACACATGGGTAAATGTGTGTGAGAGACACCATTTGTGTGTGTGTGTGTGTGTAAATGTTTTGCAGATGTGTGTGTGCGTGACAAGACGGACGTTGGAGCTGTTCGGATTCAAAGGGGAACACGGCGTCATCTGTTGTCGATCGAAAGTATTGTGTGTGGCTGTCGGTGTCCTTGTTGGCATGTGTCGTATCCCCTTCATACACGGGCTGCAGTCAACACCACACATGAAACCGCACACGCGCACGCGTTGTATCAGTTGACACACAAGCGCGATGGTGCTTGCTTCACAAGACACGGGACCAACAACAGAGGGACTCACTTGTAGCTAACAATTCCACGAGAGGAAACACATCCACGCACTCATCGGCTGGATCACGACGTACGAGCACACATAGACACACCCACACCCACAAACACACAAACACACACACACACACTACCACGCACGCACCTTGTTTGAGAGGCCGAGGGCAGGGACGCTGGCGCCAAGTGCGCGGCCCTTAACAGCGACAGACTGCCCGAGCTGCGTGAGGGAGGTGCCTGTGATAGTCTGGAACGACGTGAAGAAACTCTGTGGCGCTTCGAAGACGCGAAGAACCTTCTCATCGGCGCCGCTGGCAAAGGAGGAATCGTCAATCACAGCGAGGCAGCGCAGGTCGTAGCCGTGCACCTGGCATTGGTAAGAGTGGGCAGGGGTCGGCGTCGGGTGAGGTGGAAGGCTGACGACAAGGCAGTGGAAACGGGAGCTCATCACGCATGCGCACGCACGCACACACACACACACACACACACACACACACACACACACACACACACACACACACACACACACACACACACACACGCCTTTCAAGAAGCAGAACTAGCCAAACACACAATCAAATACACACACACACACACCTGTGGGCGCCCAAGCTCGTGCCACGCATCAGTGGTGCGGGCATGCTGCCAGGGGGCGAAGAGGCGGGTGGTCTGGTCGTCGGAGCAGGTGAGCAGATAGTCGCCGCTGGGGCTCCAGTCAAGGTCGTACACGCCCTAAGGAGAGGAGAAGAGAGAACGAGAGAGAGAACGAGAACGAGGAAGAATGGAAAGGCACATGGGCGAATACCGTTGGATGGGTGGACATGTGTCAGTGGTTGAATGGCGATAGTTGACAACGACGGAGATCACGCGTCACGATGCGTACACACACGCACACACATACACACGCACACACACACACACACACACACACACACACACACACACACACACACACACACACACACACAGGGTACACCTTGAAGTGGCCGCTGACGACGACGCGCGGGGTCCAGGAGGAAGAGGACGAGCCGGCTTCCCAGTGATGCAGTGCTCCGTGGAAACTGTGTCCAAGCACATGCTGTGCACGCGGGCCAAACACGGCGCCAAAGAACCCAAGCGTGTTGCCGCCAACCTCCCCCATACGCGCCCCGTCGAGCCACATCCCAGACTGGCGCGCGCGCGCGCGCGCGTGTGTGTGTGTGTGTGCGTGAAAAACAAGTGAGCAACGGAGAGCAATGATGGATGCAGATGACTGCAGTGTGTTGCATGCGTGCGTGTGTGCATGTATGAAGTGTGGTGGTGGTCACATCACCTTGTTTTCGTGGCCAGCCAGCAGCGCATCCAGGCTTGAGCAAAACCTGCACATCAACACAAAGAGGCCATGAGGGCATACAGACGCACACGCTGGAAATGAAGTGTGCTGGTGCGCCACAACGGGTGGCATGGAGCCCGAACGTGTGCGCGCGAACATGTGCAAACGAGACATTGTGCAGCCGGATTGGTTTGTGGACAACAACACGCGAAAACAGTACGTACGTGAGGCCATCCACGTGGAAGATGCGCTCCGATGTCTGCAGCATCGCCTCAAACTTGTCTGCACCGTCACAGCAAATGGCAACACTCTTGTCAGACACCACACAACGCAACGCAACGCGCATAGAGGTACTTGCACAGAAGCACTTGCACATGCACACGCGCACACGCACACACACACACACGCACGCACACACACACACGCATGCACGCACGCACACATTCACATGCACACACACACGCACGCACACACCTTGTTTCTGCTGCTGCTGTGCGGCCAGTGGCGTTTGTTGGGCAATCTTCCAGAGGCGGATGAAGCAGTCCTGCGCCCCACTCGCCAAGAGCAGCGCTATATAGGCAGAGGACACCCACCATTGCATCAGGACGACCGTATGGAGAGTACATACATGATTGTGGTGTGTGTGTGTGTGTGCGTGTGTGTGCGTGTGTGTGCGTGCGTTCAAATGCGTTCGCACGTTCATGTTGTGGAGTGTGAAATGAGCAGTGCAGCATTGTGCAACAACCAGAAGCGGGAGGGTGTCAGTCAACGCGAAATAAAGAGCACAACAAGCAACCGAGCAAGGGACTGTTGCACAGTCGCACCGCACCTTTCGATCCGTCGGCAGTGTGTATGGTGGTAAAGTCGAGGCTGCGAACCCAATCTTCGTGGCCAGGAAGTGAGTCCTGGTGCACGAGGCCATCAGACGCCGTCTCGGCATACACATGCACGCGCATGTCGTCACCACCACAGGCCAGCACCAACCCTGCCATCCCAACAACAGCAACGATGCCGTCAGCGCGGGAGACAAGCGCAAGCACGGGCTCAAGCTACCAGAACTCTCCCCCTTGGATACATCATCATCATCGTCATCATCATCATCATCATCATCATCATCATCATCATCAGCAGCAGCAGCAGCAGCAAGAAGGGGGCATGCAGTGCTTACGGTCTGTGGAGGGAAGCAGGGCTAGGCTCAGGGCCATCATGTAGTGCCGTGGCGTGGCAATGACTTGCAACAGCTCAAACGGCTCTATAACACACACACACAGACACACACACACACAGACACACAGACACACAGACACACAGACACACACACAAGGATAGGAGCAGAGGCAGGTGCATATCAGTTTGAATGGTGATTTGTTAAACCCATTACAGCAGCGGGCATCCTCGGGATTTGCAATGAGCATCGTTCTTGTCACTGACCTGAAGGCTTGTGGCTCTGCCATAGCCTGACCGTCTCATCACCGGCACTGGAGGCAATGATGGCGCGACCAGAGGAGAAGGAGCGCGCCTCCACGTCCGTGACAGACTCGGCGTGTTCCTTGAGAACTTGAACCGTGCTCCATGTGTGAGGCACGTCTGCACTCTTCCTCCACAGCCTGAGCGTCTTGTCTGATGAGCCCGTGACAAGCAAACTTGGTGCGAAGGAGACGCTGCCGGCATCGTCCACATGCCTCATCCACCGCACGCAGTTGACGCGGGCCGAATGGCCCGTACATGTCTGCTGCACCTTCTGCGGCACATCAGCGCTCGCCTTTGGAGACACCGCCCAACCAACGAATGAACCATGAATGCAATGCAACAGGACACAGGATGAATCGCATGATTCCGAGCAGGGACGCACACTCACACACGCACACACACGCACACGCACACACACACACGCACACACACACACACACACACACACACGCACGCACGCACACACACGCACACGCACACACGCACACGCACACACACACGCACACACGCACACACACACACACACACACGCACACGCTCACACACACACACGCGCGCACACGCTCACACACACACACGCGCGCACACACGCACACATGCGCACACGCTCACACACACACACGCGCGCGCGCACACAACACACACGCAACACGCACACAGCCTTCCTCAGAGCGGTATTGAGAGCGCACCGAGTTGTGGTTGATAAAGACGAAGCAGGAAGCAGCATATGCGACCACGTCGCTGTCCGTGTTCCAATCCAAGCAGCCCGTATCGCTGTTCACCCCAGCGCTCGCCAGCACATGCTGCACACGCACGTTGTCGTCCTCCGCCATCGTCTCCGCTGCCGTGCTTGTGTTATGTCTGCAAGGGCAAAAATGACTTGTTAAACAAGTCAACTTTTACTTTGCCCCAACAGATACAGCAGCCACAGCGGTTGTTGATTTGAACAGCAGTTGTGTTAACTTTTGTTTGGTGGCCCTGCTGGCTGTGCGATCGCGTTGAGCTTCTTGTCTGCCTCCCTGCGGCTTGTGTGCGTGCGTGTGCGTCTGGCTGAGTGTGGAGTGGACGCTCGCCTCATGGGTTTGAGCAAGAGGGGCGTGAATTGGGTTTGAGTTGCTTGTTTGTTCTCAGTAGCCAGCCGACGGCTGATTGTCGTTATATTGTTATCAGCACTTTGGCATTGTTACAACTGCCGCGTCTCGTCGCTGCCACCACTGTGAAGCGACATCATCTCGGATTAACAGCAGCGTGAGCACTGGGTGGCACCGCCACAGCCGCCGCCATGTTCCAAAGCAAACAGGCCACGCCCGAAGCCTTGCAGGCCAAGGTCTTGGACACAAAGCGCGTGCCGCTCAAGCGCCTCAAATCTCTCAAGGAGCTCGTCGACCACGGTGCGTGTGAATGTAGACATGTGTGTTCACATGTTTGTATTTGTGTGTATTTGTGTGTGTGTGTGTGTACCTGTGGTAGTGGCTGCAGTGCCGTCTTTGCATCAGCCACGAAGGATATGTTCGCGCAGCTCCATCGTCCAATTGTCACACACACACATGCACACACACACACATACACACATGTGCACACATCTTGACGCTTGACAGCTGGCATCACACCAAATGGGTTGGACGACTTTGTACGAGAGAACAGCTTGGCCATCTACTGGGCCATCCAGCAGGCCTATGAGAAACTCAAGCAGGACCTGCTGGCCAAGAGTGCGTTCCCTCAAACTGCAGATGTTGCTGTTGCTGTTGGTTGATGGTGAAGGTTGTTGAATACGGCCTGTCTCGGTCATGTGCCTTACATGTGCTGTGGCACATGTGGTACATGTGCTCTGGCACTGCGACTGCTGTCTCACGAAGCACACACAACGCACACCATTCCATAGGCGCACGATCAAAGGCAGCACCAGACTCACTCCGCTCACAGCTCTTCGACTATGTTCTCCCGTCCCTCTCTGTACGATGAAAATGCATGCGGTTGTGGCCCTCATGGTGATGGTCATAATGCTGATGGTGTTCGTGTTCGTCCACTGTGCTCCGTGCATTGAATGCCTTTGTCTCCCGCGAGCGTGCAGCTCGCCACACACACACACACACACACACACACACACACACACGCACCACACACACACACACACCCTCATCTGAACAATTGCACATTTCACACGTGCGCAGATCATGTTTGAGGCGATACCTGACCAATTCTACCGTAAGTGGCAGTTCCGCAGCATCTCCATCGTGCTTCCAGACCTCCTCGCCGAAGGAAACCAGCTCAGGTGCGTGGTGTTCACACACACACACATACACACACACACACACTTGTGGCTGCATCACCACACATCCATCCACATGTGGCTGCGTTGCTGGTCCTGTGTGGCCAGCACACGCTGAGTGCTGGTGTCATCTCACCTCAGCCTTACTCTTCTTCGTCTTCGCCTTTTTGTTGTGGTTGTGACTGTGACTGTGGTTGTGGGTGCAGTCTGCGCAAGGAAGGCATTCGCCTCTGCGTTCACTGGATTTCTCTTCTCAGAGAGAACTTAACGGTACGCACGTGCGACAACACCACACCCACAATGCCAGAAAGCAGCCGTCATGCATTCCTGCACATCCATCCGTGCCCTCCCATGTGCCCTCACCGCTGCTGCCTGTTCCATCACCAATTTATCACCACCACCAACAGACGACAGCGCTTGACATTTTCTCCAGCGTCTACGCCGCCCCAAGCGAGGTGCTACGCTGTGCCCTTTGCAGCTTGTGTGTGAATGTGTGTATGTGTATGTGCGCAGTTGTGTGTGAATGTGTGTATATGTATGCGTGTGTGTGTGTGTGCGTGTGTGTGCAGTTGTGTGTGCGCGCGCGCTGTGTTGTGTGTGTGTGTGCGTGTGCGTGTGTTTGTTTGTGTGTACAAGCCCTAAGGCGCACAATGCAACACAACATCTTTTCTGCTCCCTTCACACCTTCCAATTCCTTCCTTTCCTTCACACACACACACATATTTCACCTGCGTGCGTGCAGCAAAACTCGCGTTCAGGCCTCCTCCTGCCTGAACTCGGCAGCGCGCAGGCGATGGTGGCCGCCCCAGAGCACCTCCAGTACCAGCTGCTTGAGTTGCACCACCACCCGCTCGCTGAACTCATCGACTTCATGCTCGGCTGCATCACCAGCCTAACACGTGTCGGTGAGCCGCACTCTGTGGTGTGCGTGTGTGTCCGTGTGTGTATGTGAACGCGTATGGTTGTCAGGTTTTGTCTCGGCTCGTGTGTTTCTCCGTGGTTGTGACTGTATTCGTCCCCCCCCCCCAAGAGTGAAGACAGCACAATCAACTGCTTGTTTGCTGACGTGGCTTCAGCGCACATTCAGCCTCTGTCCTCATTCAGCCTTCGCCCCCTCATACCGATGTGCCCACTCGCCGCTTCTGGCCACAATGCCTCTCGACCAGTGCACACAAACGGAACGCAGAAGACATACGACACCACGTCGTTCCTGTTTGTGTTCCGGCTGTGGCTGCACCAGTACTTCTGCCGCCTATGCCCTGCTGCTGCCATTCGCGCTGGCCTGTCCCCGCTTCAGCCAACCGTGCTCGAGCGCAGCAACAGCCCATCGCCGCGGTCCGCCCGCGCAGCAGCGCCCTCGGCAGCGCGAGCACCACAGACCACACAATCCACGCAGTCCACACAATCCACACAGTCCACACACGGTGCACATGCACAGCAGGCTGGCAGCGGCAGCAGCGGCAACAGCAGCAACAGCAGCAGCAGGAACGACACGATCAGCAGCAGGAGCGCGACGTCCACGGTTGTGGGTGCGTCCCCACCGCTCCAGAGGCGGTCGGTTGAGGCGCTCCAGGCCCCGGAGGTCACGTGCTCCATGCGCGTACACGAGGTGATCACACGCTGGTTTGTGCACTGGTTCACGTCGCCGGACCCAAGGTGCGAGGCCATCCGCAAGTCCATCCAGAACGACACCACCATCATGAAAGTGGCGGACGAGGTGTTCAAGCTTACCCTTGCGGCTGCGCAGCCAACGGCGCCCGTCACCACGGCAGCGACCGGAAAGGCGGCCCAGCGACGCCAGGCCAAGCTGGGGTCGTCATCCCCGTCATCGCGACGCGGCGCAACCGGGCCCTCCATCCCGCGGCTTGCTGAGCAGAGCCTGTTTGACCGCACGTCTCTGCAGGACGACTCGCAGCTGCCGCACCAGGTGCTCGCTGTCTACCGCCGCTGGCTCGGACGTCCACCGGCATCACAGGCCTTCTTTCCCTCGTCTGCGCTATCACCTGGCGGCGGCGGCGGTGGTGGTGGTGGTTACTCGCGGCGCGTGTCGACTGTTGGTGTTGGCGTCACTGTTGCACAGCACAGGTCCTCCTCCAGCGTTGGTGCCGGGACAGCGGCCACGTCGGGCTCATCGTCGTCGTCGCTGTCGTCTGTGACCGGTGCGGTAGTCCCAGGTGGTGGGTCGGCGTCCAATGTGCACAGCACCGCGGGCACCGCGTCTGCTCGTCACCAACATCGACAGTCATCACGACAGCAGCAACAACAGCAGCAACAACAACATCTGCAACAGCCTCCGCAGCAGCGTGTGTTGTCATCGTCGTCGTTTGTGCCACAGGGTGCACCGATCCCCGAGGAGCCCGAGGCAGAGCCGCCTCTCATCAAGGCACCGGCTAGTGCCGATAGCACTGCAGACAACAAACCCAGCACTGAGGATGACGATGGCGACCTTGATTCAACACGTGCACAGCTTGGCAGCAGCACATCTGCTGCAGCGAGCGAGAGCACAAGCGCAAGTGCAAGCACAACATCGAGTGCACGCGTGCATGTGTCCATGAGTCCGACAGCAGCGCGCAAGAACATCCCACAGCCGCAGTCTGGTGGAAGGGGGAGCCCAATTACGACCGCTGTTGAACTGCAGACAACACTGCAGCCGCAACTGTCGAAGCTGTTGACCCAGAGCGTGCATTGCATTGACTCAAAGGTCAAGGATGTGATGCAGCTGAATTCTGTCACAGACCTTCGTCGCATCATTGCTTCCATCTACACCAACGTTGCGCAGGTGTTCCGGCAACCGACAGCACCGCTGTTTGACACGCAGGCGCGGCGCAGCTTTGTTCTGCTCTGTCAGACGGCGCTCACCATATTCCGGCGCATTTGCCTCTGCCACGTGCAGAGCCTGACTCCAATCATGTGTGCCGATGTGCTCGAGGTGTGCGTCACATTGATTGATCGCTTGTGTCTGTGTGTGTGTGTGCATGTGTGTGTTTTGTATGTACATGTTTGTGTTTTGTATGTGCGTGTGTGCGTGCGTGTGTGCGTACGTGTGTGTGTGTGTGTGTGTGTGTGCGTGTGTGTGTGTGCGTGTGTGTGTGTGTGTGTGTGTGTGTGTGTGTGTGTGCTCTGAGCAGGATGCGCGACCCTGTTGCAGTTTGTTTTTGTTGTTGGTGAAATTGGTTCACTTGCTGCGTATCTGTCGCGTGCTCGACTTTCTGGCGCCGAATCACAGCAACCCCCTTTCCTATTCTAGCTCATCCTCCGTCAACGCCCATGATTGCGTGCCTTCAACCTGCTGCAATTACAGATCTTGCGGGAGACGCCTGGCCGCCTGCTGAAGAACGTGACCCCTTCCTCCCCCATTGGCCGCGCCCTTCCCGGCCCAATCTTCGAGACAGTGCTGGTTGCACACGTGCGAGTTGCCGCAGAGTACCCCGAGTGGATGGACGACCAGTGGCCCAACCTTGCTGCCTGCTTGCACCCGTTCACATCCTGGGCTGAGCTTGGCCGCAGCTGGGCAGCGTGCACGCTCTGTGTGACGCGCTGCATCCAGCAAGGGATGGTGGATGCAGCCATGGCGCTTGAAGAGCACGACAAAGCTGCCGCCACGACCGTGTCATCCTCGCGGTCATCCCCTGCTTCCACGTCGGCATTTCCCGGGGCAACGGAGGGCAGCGCGCCGCGGCGAAGGCGGCGCACGGGCACGGGCGACTCCGTGTTTCGTGGTGAGAGCCAAGGCGGCGGTGGTAACGATGGCCGCGACAATGGCGACGTTGGTGATGTTGGTGGTGGTGGTGATGGTGGTGGCGATGGGGAAAATAAGCGTGGACAAGAGAAGCGAGAACATGACACGCGCAGGGCTGACGATGATGGCGAGCAGCACACAACAACGGAGAGGTTAACCCCGCCTTTGGAGGCTGCGGCGCAAGACAACAGCAGTGACGCCAAAGGTATGGACGGGACTGGAACGGGCACGTCTTCTTCCCCACCCCCTCCAAAACAACAACAACAACAACAACAACAACAACAACAACAACAACAACAACAACAACAACAACAACAACAACAACAACAACAAGAGTCATCTTCTGTGAGTACGCCGGTGTCGCGGCAGTCGAGCCATAACGCCAGCCCACCCGACCACCATGCCACCGCCACCGCAGCTACAACTACAAGTGAGCGTCGCCCCCGCTTTGGGTCAAACTCGAGTGCCACCGGCCCGCATCCACGCCGCGGCCACCCCCGTCTCTCCCTGCGCTCCACCACCTCTGCGTCGGGCCGCAGCGCCGGTTACGGCGACAGCAGTGGCCCACACCATCACCACCACCAACAGCATCACCAACAGCAGCACGCCGCGCCACCGTCGCCTTTTCGCAGCCCAGGTGGACCGCTCTCTGGCTCGCCTGGCGGTTCCCAGCGCGCATCGGGGGCGGCCATCCCTGGGCGGTTGTGCAGGGGCGCAAGTCACCTCTCGCTCAGCTCAGCAGCGCCAGACGGGAATGAGCAGCGGTTCTCTGACCTGGTGCAGCCGCTCTGCTCGCTCGACGCCAACACGCAGCTGCGCATTTGGCGGCACCTTGCGCTGTTCTTTGGCGATTTCAACGCCATTGATATTCCCCGCACGCACTGCCTGATTGTGCGCACGTACGGCAGCGTGTTCAAGCTGCTGCACGCAGGCTTCCTCCATGCCGATGACGGCTACCTCGGCGATTGGGTGCCGCCATTCATGCCGTGGCTGTTTGAGGCCATGGTGCTGAGCCCACGCTTTGCCGAGAGCAAGTATCGCTGCAATCAGCTGGTGTGCGAGGTGCTGGTGGCCACGGTGGCTGCTCGCCCGGCCCCGCCCAAGGACGTGCTGCACGCCTTTCTCTCCCACCTTGCCCGCGTGCTGCTGCATGCCGACACGGCCATGGTGTACACGGCGCTGCGCACGTGCTGGGCCCTCGTCGGTCTCAACCTCCCAGGCGCCACGCTGCTCTACCCGCGGCTCGTCGATGTGTGCACGCTGTGCCTCAACTCACTCCCCGTTGGCTTCCACCAGCAACTGCAGCATCCTGCGACCGCGGGCGTTGGTGCCGATGCGGTGCGCGGTGTCAGGTGGTCACGGACACAAGGGCCTGCGTCCGCCACCAGCAGCCTTCGCCAAGGCCTGACGGCGCCAAGCCGTGCGCTCTCCCCTAGCCCTGCTCACGCTGCTGCCCATGCATCATCTTCCACGCGCTCCTCGCACACATCAACGCCACAGCCGCCGTCGTCCTCGTCATCGGGACGTTCCCCTAAACAACCGCGCCGCTCAAAGATCTCCATCTTCCCAGACTCGCCAAAGCAGCAGCGACACCAGCCCGCTTCACAACAGCAGCAACAACAGCAACAACAACAGCAACAACAACAGCAACAACAACAGCAACAGCCACAACACTCTGTCCGAGGTGCCATCTCCACATCCCCTCCCCCAGTGCAGCAGCAGCAGCAGCCGCAGCAACCGCCCATGCTCGGGTCTGTGCCCGGTTCAGCTGCTGGCAGCCAGCATTCGCTCATTCTCCCACGCATTGTTGGAGGCGCAGCGAGTACGACTGCCGTGGCCTCGCGCCGGCCGCCAGCCTCTGCAGACCAGCACACGGGCCCGCTGGAAGGCAGCGAGGATCTTCCCTTGATGGCTCTACTTGGAATTGCGCCACACGACCTGCTCACCTCGCACGATGACGCGGCAAGCTTCAGCCCGCATGACATCGGTGTGTCGCCCCACCCGAGCGTGTCCAGCTTGTCCATGCACGCACAGGGTGCCGCTGCAGGTGCTGGCAGTGGCATGAGTAAGTTTTCTGCCGCACGGCCTGTGGTCGAGGTCGCCGTGCTGCTTGCGTCCATGGCGTGCTTGCCGGTTGCGTATGACGGCATGAGCATCCCTCGCATGGAAGTGCAGGTAGCACAGGCATGTGCGCAGCAGCGACAGCAACTACAACAACAATCCCAGGGCGCAACAACCACAGCAACACCAAGCACCAACGAGGACGTGAACGCTGACATGGAGGAGGCCAAGGCCCGCAATGGTCGGAGCTCGCGAACTGTCGCCGAGCGTGGCCGCTCACGCAGCAGCAGTAACGCTTCCATCACCTCCACACATTCGCACGCAGGATCAAGAGAGGATGACGAATTTCGGACAGCGCCCGCCCCAGTCCCGCCTGTTCGGCACAAGCGCAAAAGCAAAGCAAACCGGGGTCGGAAAACGTCGTCGCCGCCAGATGTGGGCAAGAGTCTGCACGCACCAAAGCTCACCCGTCCACGCTCGGGCAGCTTGGGCATGTTCCGCGCCCAACAACAACAGCAACAGCAGCAGCAACAACAACAGCAGCAGCAGCAGCAGCAGCAGCAGGGAGGTGGACAAGGCGATGATTGTGGTCGCGACAGGACGCCGAGCTCAACGTCCCCTGCCCGTTTGCTCCGGCGTGACTCTGCACTGCCGTATGCGCCCACGTCACATTTGCAATCGCCAGGTGGTGGAAGTAACCTGCTTGCGCAGGACTCTCGCTCGCACGGCGATCTGCGGTCCATCACGGACTCCACGCCGTCGTCGCCCTCACACCAGCAGGGCGCCGCGTCTTCGTTCCGCCAGGGCCAGCGACGCGTTGCAACGCCATCCAGTCTCAGCCCTCTTTCCAAGCAGCCGACCACGGCAGCAGCCGCGGCTGAACAGCAAATGCCACGACGCCGCGGCAGCAGCCAGGCCGTTGCAGCGAGCGCGTCACCACCTGCCACCCGCTCACCAGTGGCACTGCTGCTGACGCCAGAGCGAATGTCCTCACAGCAGCAGCAGCAGCAGCCGCAGCAGCAGCAGCAAGACCGGCCACGTTCGCACAGCAACCACGAGCGCCGTGCCTCCCCGCCAGCGCTGCAGCTAACTCCCGGCCGTCGAGCGGCGGGCGCTGGGCAGCAAGACCCCGACGAGGGACACAACGACGCACTGCTGCTGGAAGAGGAGGCAATCACAAGCATGCAGACACTGCAAGCGTCTGTGCAGCGAGGATTGAGGCAGGTGGTGCTGTGCGAAACCCACGTGCAAGCGCAACGCATCAGCCTGCAAGGTTTGTACATCCTGGGTCTCAGTGCCCTGCTGAACAGGAGCAGCAGCAGCAGCAGCAGCAATAATGACAACGGTCATAACAACAGCGGCATTGATCCACTGGATCACGCTGTCAGCACGACTCACCGATGCGTGCAAGTGCTGATCGCGTGCCTGTCGCACCCATCGCTGGAGCTATCGATGACGGCCGTGTCTCTGCTGCACGCACTACATGAGCACGCAGGTGCGCTGGTCACTGCGAGCCCAGCTGTGGTATCGGAGGTCTTGCTCGGCTTGAGCGTTGCACTTGTGCGCGAAACGCAGACAGACGACACAGACGATGGTGGCGACGGCGGTGGTGATGACGGTGACAGTTGTGGCGACATGCCTCCCCCGACCGAGCTGGTGATCCCACTTGTGCTGGCACTGCGCGACTGGCTGTTGCGCTTACCGCAGTCGTTTTCAGAGCAGCACGATGGCGTGGTTGGCGGGTGCATCCGCGCCCTGCTGCAGGCCGCCGGTGTGGAACATGCCGAGGAAAGCGAGTTGCTTGCTGCTGCAGTTACCACTTCTGCCGCTACCACTGCTGCTGCTGCTGCTGCTGGCACAACCACGGCCACGTCTGCGTGTGCTTCTCCCAAGTCGGGATCAAAGGAGGACGGCACTATTGACGCCGGTGGCCGCGCCGTCCATGCTGACGTGCTGGCAACTCGGCCAGGGGAGCACGCGTCACAGCTGTTGCATGACCCTGCATCTGCTCCCAGCACGGCTGACCTCGAGCCAGGGTCTGACGCAAGCGCTGCCTCGCCCACGTCTGCACAACAGCAGGCACTCGCATCGCCCGCCGCCCGCCGCCCACGCAGTGCACGTGCCAGCTGGCAGGCAGATGCGACTCTGGGATCCAAGCACCGAGACATGTCTGCCTCCCCAGCACTTCAACAACAGCAACAACGCCACCACCACCAGCAGCACCAGCAGCAAGGAGGGGCCGCGCCTAATGCTGCGAATACGACCAGTCTCGCCACCACCACCACCACCGCCACCAACGTCAACACCAGCGGCAGCACCATAGCTGGCGACGCCGAAGACCTGCTGGCGTGGAACACAGACGACATGATCGCCCTGTTCACGCATGCAGCCGCGCCCCAGCCTGTTTCCGCGCTGCCGTTGCGCAACACCAGTCTTGTTGAGGCGCTTGATCGCGGTACACGTAGCGGGTCGATGCTGCGCCGCCGTCGCCTGCGCAAGGACCGCAGCCCGTCCACGTCCGGCAACAAGCACGGGCCGGCGCAGCAGGAGGCATCACCAGACACCCGCAAGCCCGGCGTTGGCGCTCAGCCAGGCACTGGCGTCGGAACAGCAGGCTTTGGCGGCGGTGGAGGGCGTGCAAGGCTATTGTCTGCACGAAGTGACAACAATGGCACAGCGTGCACAGCGATACCCTCGCCAACGACGCCTGGTGGCCCTGTGTTCGTGGCTGCGAAAGACGTGCGCGATGCTGCGGAGTGTGCGCTGTCGTATGTGCTGCACTACACGGGCTGCTTCCCCGGCCCCGCTGGCGCGGCGCTGCTCGACTCGACCGTGACAGAGACAGCGACGGGCGAGCCGCTGTCCCCGGCAGCCCTCGGGCACCCGGGCCTGCAGTTCTTCTCCTGCAACGATGTCCTGGTGTCGTTCCAGGAAACGCATGGCAGCTGCCACGTGGTTGTGCGCAACATTGCGGGCAAGTTTGTGTGGGACCTGGGACCTGCCGTTGGCGCGGGCGGTCGGCAGCGCAAGCTCATGCCGCGGCGGCCAACTCTCGACCTGCACAAGCACGGTGTGGAGAAGGGCAAGCGCGGCAGCGGCCTGCTTGGCGTGCATGGCGACGACCTTCGGCGCAGCGCCAGCTTGAGCATGGCCGCATCTGCAGTGCGAAAGCGCCGTGAGCGTGCGAGACAGCAACAGCAGCAGCAGCAGCAGCAGCAGCAGCAGCAGCGTGAGACACGTGCACAAGCAGACACGGACGATGGCGAAGGGGTGAATGTGCCCTCGTTGCCAGCGACACGCGCATCAGGCACAGGATCTCAGGACAGTGGCGCCACCAGCACTGGCGGTGATGGTGACGGGAGCGTTCGTCCGCGGTCGCGTGTGAGTGCAGCGGCGCGAGCAGCGGCAGCAAAGGTGCGCGGGCGCATCAGCAGCAGGGCAGAGCGAGAGGAGGGCACGACGTCGCCTGGGGAACCGCAACAGTTCACTTCACGGCCCCAGTCTCGCAACCACGCGTCATCAGCAACGGCCGTCGATGAAGGCACACCTCGACAGGATGGGCAGGCACATGAATCACGGACGCCTGGGACTGACCCGGACGAGGATGGTCATGGCAACAACAATGACGGCCGTGCAGACGTGGCAGAAACTGCAAGTGGGGCTGGCAGGCGGCCACTGCGCCGGTATGGCAGCGTGTATTCTGGTGAGAGCGTGAGCGGGAACGCACACCATGCCAATGACGGTGACAGCGGTGATGGAGACGATGGGCAGGATGAGGATGAGGATGAGAATGAGAATGGGGATGAGAATGAGGATGAGGATCCAACAATGGTGTGGCAGTCGCTCCTGTCTGGAGAACAAAAGGTTCCGTGCCGGGTGCTCGCTGCACACGAGGACAGCACGACGTCCGTGGCGCTGCCATCGTTTGGTGATCCCGGCGACATTCACACGGTGGTGCCAGCGGAGGCGCGGGTGAGCTTTCTCCTGCACTACTTGGACGCAACCGCTGGTGATAAAGGCTTGCACCCGACGGTGTTTGATGGCCAGGGTGGACAGCTGGTGCAGGCACCGGCGTCGGTGCTGAGGGCTGCCGATGCAGCCCGTGCGTGCCATGAGACGCTGCAAGAGCGGACGGCGACCACGGCCGCGCGGGCGGCCATCTCGCCCGCGTTTGTGGGCGACGAGAGCGCATTTGCACCCCTGTTTGACACGAGCACAGGGTCAACCACACCACCCGGAGCAGCGACGGCAGGTACGACAGGCAGCTCAAGGCAAATGCGTGCGCTGGCGGCTGGCGGGGCTGCAAGCGGCGTCGACCTTGACACCACGGGCGCGCGGCTGCGGCGGGACGCGTTTGCCATGTGCCGCTCGCTGCTGATGGAGGTTGGCCTGCTGTCGTGGGGATCGGACGCGTCGCTGTTTGCGCTGAACAAAGGCAACAAGCTGCTGCGTGAGCTCAAGCACCTGGATACGGCTGGCGGGGTGCGGGAGCAGCACAAGGTCGCTGTCATCTATGCGGGCCCGCAGCACCGCACCAAGGAGGAGATCATCACGGGCGTGCGCACGAGCGTGGAGTTTGAGGAGTTTCTGGCGCAGCTCGGGTGGCAGGTGAACATTGACGAGCATCGCGGGTACGCGGGCAAAGTGTCGTCGGCGGAGTTTCCCGGGTGCCTGCTGCCCTATTACGCCACCCCCACGCTGGAGGTGCTGTTTCACGTGACCACGCGCATGTGTCCCTTGGGGCCTGGGCAGGCTGCGCGCAGTGGCAGGGCGGTGGTGACCGAGGACGGGGCGCTGCTGTCGGCGGAGGTGCGCAAGCATGTGTACAAGTCGCGCTGGGTGCACGTTGGCAACGATTCTGTGCACATTGTGTGGTGCGAGCAGGCGCGGGAGTTTCAGCCGGAAATCTTCCAGACGCGGTTTGGGGAGGTCACGATTGCCGTGTACCCGATGACCAATGGCCTTTTCCGCATCCACGTGTTCAACAAGTCCTCGGTGGCTGTTGGGCCCCTGTTCCATGGGGCGGTGGTGGACATGGCGTGCCTGCCGAGCCTTGTGCGGGAGACGGCGGTCAATGCGGGGCGTGCGCTGCGGCAGAGCGCCACGAGCAAGCAGTTTATCAGCACGCGGCTGGAGAGCATCCGCAAGATTACGCGCTCCCTCCGCGTTGACCAGTCGTTTGAGGACCTCAACGCGTCCATCATCTTCCCCACAAAGCCGCAAACGCCAACTTGACACGTGCTTGAGAGAAGGCGAGAAAGTAGTAGTCGTAGGAGGAGGAGGAGGAGGATGTGTGTGTATGTGCTGCTCGAAGGAGTGGGTGGGCGTTGCCGTGGCACTCTGCTTTTGTCGTGTATCTTTAATAAATTTCGTCACAAGAAGTGATCTGGCCTGCTGGTCAAACAACAAACGGGAGACGCAGCATCGGCCATGTCGTATGCACCAAGCCGTGCCAAGAAGAAGGTCAGGGCTGCGATCGCTGTGTATGCTTGCTGTGTGCGTGTGCGTGTGCTGGGTGTGTGCGTGTGCTGGGTGTGTGTGCTGGGTGTTTGCTTGAGTGTCGATGCTTCCGTGATCGTGGAACACAAGCGTCGATTTGCTTTGGGGTCACTGACGATCGATCCCATGTCACCATGCCCACACTGTGCACGCCGCATCCTCATTGCCTTTGGTTCATCGTCTGCTGCCTCTGCTTCTTCTTGTGTTTTCAGGCGCCCAAGTCCTCGGGCTTCTTCTCCAAAAGTGCCTTTGGCTCGGATGATGAGAGCGACTTTGTGCCATCAAGAGCACAGGTGCGCAAAACACTGCTGTTTGTTGCGCATGGTGCACTTGCAAAGTGCCTTGCCATCTCTCACACTCACACCCAACACATGCACACACCCAACACACACACACACACTCTCACTCACTCACTCACTCACTCATTCACTCACTCACTCACTCACTCACTCATTCACTCACTCATTCACTCACTCACTCACTCACTCACTCTCACTCACTCACTCACTCATTCACTCTCTCACTCTCACTCACTCACTCACTCTCACTCACTCACTCTCTCTTTCATGATGCCCCAACAGAAGAAGAAGAAAGGAAAGAAGAAGGCTGCTCCCTCAAAGGCACGAAGCCCTTCGCCTATTTCAAAGGGTGAGTAACGCCATGCAATGCCCCATGCACTCTTGCTTGCCTTGCGCGCTCAAGATTAGTGTGAGAAGATGAACTGCTGCCACTGATGCTCATGCCCATGTTCGATCACACCCTAAAAAACAAACACACACACACACACACACACACGATCACAACGCTTGTTTGTTTGTGCAAACAGCTGACTTTGACCTTGGCGGAGCAAGTAAGTGTATGTGACAGCTTAATCCCTTCGCTTGAAGTGTTGCTCCAGCCTACCCTGCGAATGCGTGGATTCTTTTGTCATCCCTGCTCTGCTTCGCTTGTGTCTGCTCCTTTCTTGGTAATTGTCTCACGTCCTTGTCTCCGTTGCTGCTGCGTCATCTCTGTGCCTGCTCAGAGAAATCTGCTGGGCCACCTCCCCCGCCGCCGGGCCCGCCACCTCCACCAGCACCGCCGCCACCAGGCAAAAGTGCGTGCCCCTTAAAACCCCTTGTTTCCCCGTGTGTCAAGCGTGTCAAACCTCCTGCGTATTGTTCGACAATTCACACCATCATGGCTTGCCCTTTAACAACCAACCCCCTGTGCGCTCTGACAGAGAAACCAGCTGGCGCACCTCCCCCGCCAGCGCCCCCGCCACCAGGCAAACGTGCGTATGCCTGGCGCGTGTGTCCTCGCTTCTGTGAGTGTAGTGTCAAGCATCGCCATTCTGCAGCTAACACGTGCTGCTGCACCCCTTGATCCCCGTGTGTTCTTGCAGAGAAAACTTCGGCCCCGCCTCCCCCACCGCCCGGCCCACCACCACCTCCTGACGCATCCCCACTGGGGAAATCAAGTACGACCGGATACACGCGTTGCGTCCCTACATGCGCCCCTAAAACTGTCTGGAATGCATGCACTCCTGTTAGTTTGAGCACGCCACTCCTTCAACTCTGTTGTTGCATGTTGTCGTTTGTGTTGCCGTTGCAGAGAAAACCGCTGCGCCACCGCGAAAGAAAGGTGTACCACCGCCTGCGTCTGTGCAATGCTGTCATCCCATCAGCACAACAACAGTGAACACATACACGCACGTGTGCAGTGGGCGCACGTGCACGTGCAAATCCAGAAGAGCTTTCGATGGCTTCATTTGATATTCTTGTTATGTTTGCATCGTCTAATGCACATGGTCACGAGCCGCGCTTCCCACCACTCACCCGTCCACACCATGACAACAACAGCGCCGGCCAAAGACAATGTGCCTCCTCCACCGCCACCACCACCACCTGCTTCCCACACGGCTGAAGGTGTGCATGCTCGGCACTCTTCGTTGTGTTGTCCACTACCTTACATGCTCGACATCACAACAGTAATCGCTTGCACTCACACAACGGGGTGTTTATCTCCCTCCCCTCCCCCTTCCTCTTCCTGCTCCCTGCCTCCCTTCCCTTCCTTCCCTTCTGTCTCCTTCCTGGCTCATGAATACAGACAAGTCAGCCAAGCTGATGAAGCGCGTCAACGCCGCCATTGCTGCGGGCGCCAGCGACCTGTTCGGGCGCGGCAAGCTCATGCTTGTTGGGCAGGGCCGCGCTGGCAAGACGACAACGCTGCGCTCTCTGCTTGCCAAGCCGTTTGAAAAGGACCAGCAGTCCACGGTCGGCGCAGCGACGAGCGACATGGCCGTCACCGTCGACACCCAGGACGTTCGCTCCTGGCAGGTGTGTGTTGTGTTGTGTGTTGTGTGCGTGTGTGTGCATGTGTGTGCGCGCATGTGTGTGTGTGCGGGTGCATGATAAGTGTGTGTGTGTGCACGAATTGTGTGTGCATATTATATTGATCCTACCAATGTGGATGGTGCTGTTTCCCTGCTGCGAATGGCAATCCCACCCACCCCCATCCCACCTTCCATCGCGCGGTTTGTCTTGTCTTACAAACACCTTGTGCGCACAATCACGCTGCCCACAGGAGACGAAAGGCGAAGAGTCGGAGATGGCGCGTGCGCTGCGCTCTGGCGCCATGGTCGACGATGACGACAGCAGCGGCGACGGCGCAGGCAAGCACGCCTTCCGCTCCCCGACGGAGGAGAAGAAGAAGCGCAAGAAGGCGATGAAGGAGCAGCACAACGGCCGCCAGAGCGAGGCCGTGCTAGCGGATGAGGGCGACGACGACGCCGACGACGCCACTGCCAACGGTGATGACGGCGCAGATACATCTGCCGCCGCCTCTGAGCTGGAGAAGGCCGTGACCGACCTGAACCTGGAGGCAAACATTGGCACCATCGAGGACGATGGCTTCCGCGTCACGTTCAAGATCTTCGACCTGGGCGGCCAGCCCACCTTCTACATCTTCCATCCGTTCTTCCTCACCAAGTCAGTCTGCCATGTGTGTGTGTGTGTGTGTGTGTGTGTGTGTGTGTGTGCGTATTTCTGCACACTTGTGCGCTTTTCTCCCCGTGTGCTTGTGTGTCTGCACGTGCATGCATGCGCACAAATTGTTGTCGTCGGTTATGGTCGCCACAAGTCCTCCAGCCCCCCCCCCCATATGCGCTATTGCCATCGCGCACTGCGTTCATTCAATTCACTTTGACGCCAACCCGTTCCCTCCCTCTCCTCTCTTTGTCATGCAGGTATGCGGTGTACGTCGTCGTGTTCTCGATGGCGGACGTCATGAGCAAGGACGAGATGGTGAGCGCGGAGACGTGGGAGTTTATCGACCACTGGCTCGGCTCCATCTTCCTCTACGCGCGCGGGGCGCCCGTGTTCATGGTGGGCACCTTTGGCGACGAGGTCAATCAGCGCAAGCAGCACGAGCGCATCTCCCAGCAGATCTTCGAGCGCTTCAGTGCCCACGCCGCCTTCCCGCAGCTCGTGTACAACAAGACGGCCAACATGTGGTTCTGGCCCGTGGACAACACCCAGTCCATCAAGGACCCGATGATTGCCAACCTGCAGCGCTGCATCTCGGACGAGGCCGGCAAGCAGGAGCACGTGCGCATGCGGGTCCCCCTGCCGTTTCTGGCGCTGTATGACAAGCTCATGTCGCTGCACAAGGAGGAAGACCGCCCCGTCGTGCGCCTGCCGGAGATTGAGGCGCTTGCCCACAAGTTTGGGCTGGATCACCAGGCCACCATCGACTGCCTGCGCTTCTGGCACGAGTACTCCATGCTGCTGTACTTTGACACCGTGCCCGGCATGGAGGAGGTGGTGATCCTCAGCCCGCAATGGGCGGTCGACGTCATGTGCAAGGTCATCCGGAACTTTGACCTGCACACGGTGCTGCAGGACCGCGAGGCGCGCCACTTCAACCGCCAGTGGCAGGAGCTCACCCGCCGCGGCATCCTGCACCGTGAAATGCTTGATCTGCTCTGGAGCGACATGGCCAAGGACCTCGTCGACCCGTTCCTCGACCTCATGATGCGCTTTGGCCTCTGCGTGACGTACCGCGAGCCCACGCGCAACCAGGGCATGACGGCTGGCCTGTCTCTCGACGACGGCACCATCACCCACGCCGAAATGGCGGGCGCGCTCTCCTCCTCGCAGAAGCAGCAGCTGCTGCAGCAAGGCGGTGGTGGCGGCGATGACGGCGACGCCGTGGATGCTGCGGCCAGGGCGTACCTGGTGCCGGCCATTCTGCCGCTCACGCTGGACGGCAGCAAGTTGCCATCCACGACGCTGAGCAGCTTTGCCGGTGGCCAGCTCAACCGCTACGACTACCACGACAGGACCGCCGTGTACATATCTTTCTTCCTGGACGACTTTGCCAGCACGGACCCCGTTGTGCTGGTGAATGACCTTGTGCGCACGAGCTTCCTGCCGGAGGGCCTCTTCTCGCGCGTCGTCGCCCACCTGATTGGCAGCTCCCAGTTCACCATGGTGACCAAGCCGCGCCTGAGCCGCACGCAGGCGGACGTGTACTTCCACGACTGCAAGGTGCAGCTGCGCCTTGTGCCCGAGGTTGGCGGCGTGAAGGTGCTCATTGAGGCCGCACAGCCACGCCCGCTGCTGCGCATGGTGCAGGACACCATCATCCACAGTGTGCAGAAGCACTACGAAGAGCTGCGCGTGTACACGCTGCTGCCGTTTTCCCCCAAGGCACTGCTGTTCCTCGACGACGTCATTGAACACCACCGCCAGCGCCACTCCATGTGGGTTGAAGGCGCCCAGATCAAGCCAGCAGAGCTTGAGGAGCGCTACGGCACCTGGCTCCCCACCACGGGCCTGCGTACCTTCTACGACAGCTTCCTCAGCTACAGGTTGGTTGGTGGGCGACGCTCCGACCCTTTGCTGCCCTTTCTCGTGGCATATGCAATATCGTCCATGAGATTGCGAACACGTGACACCGGCCTTTCTATTTTCTCACCATTGTGCGCAAACACACACACACACACACACACACGCGCGCACGCACGCACGCACGCACACGCACGCAACCGCATATGCGCAAACACACACACACAAACACACACTCTCTCTCACACACTCTCTCTCACTCACACTCACACTCACATAATCACACTCACACAAACACCTGCAGGCAAGGCGCCAACAGCAGCTTTGTTGTGAACCTGCATGTTGTTCTGGAGGAGAACCAGCTCATCTCGTTCCTGGACGCGAACAACCTGGAGACGGGCGTCAACTTCAAGATGGCGTTTATGGAGGCCATCAGCCGCAGCCTTGTGGCGTGCCCCGTCGTCTCTGCGGGCGCTGTCGAACGCATGTTCCAGATCCGCCACGGCGACTACTGCGACAACGTGCTGCTGGAGTGGATGACCATGCTTGCTTTGCTGGATTACGTCATGGAGTGCGAGCATGCTGGCCAGGACGTCGTGGCTGACAGCGCCACCAACGGCGACCACGCCACCGCCACGCCCGTGTTCCTGCGCCGCATTGCCCCGCTCGTTGTCAGCAAGGCCTGGCACAACTCGGAGCTCTCGTCAAACAAGGTCTTCACAGACACGTTTGCCGACCTGCGCACGCTGTGCAACAGCCTGCCGGATGTGGTGAGCGAGCAGACGACGCGCCCACTGGAGGCGTTCTTCAAGGACCGCCTGCACCTGCGAGCTCCCAAGCGCCGCACGGTTCGCCAGGCAGTGCAGGAGCTGCTGGACATGGACGCCATCTTCTGCTGGGAGAGCGCAGACGCCACAGACAGCCGCGCGCACCAGGCTGTCGGCGTGGCCGTCACCACGGAAGCGCACAAGGTGCACCGTCTTCGCGGGTACGCCAACGAGGTGCGCCAGGTTGTGCTGCGCGCCAAGCAGCTGGCAGACGACGATGAGGCGCTCAAGCTTGCCATGCAGGCTGGCATGGAGCGGTCCGGCGCCCACCTCCTCTCGTCCTCCGCTGCACGCCATGCCACGATGAGCGCATCCCACGACTCCTCCAAGCCGACGCCACCGAAGGACGAGCCCGCGCCGGCCCCGCCAGCAGCAGTGGCGGCCTCCACCCTTACTGCACGCGCCATGTCAGACAGGCCTGTTGAGCAGTGGAGCGAGGACGACGTTGTGGCATGGCTTGCGCAGGAGAAGTTTGACGCAATGGTGCCTGCGTTTCAGCGCGAGCACGTTGACGGCACTCTGCTCATGGCCCTTTCCGATGACATGCTCGCCAACGAAATGGTTGGTTTGGCTTGGGTCGAAGAGGGAAAGGGGTGTTGGGGGCATGTACTAACACATTTCTGCTCGCCTCGGTTGGTTGCTTGTGTCTTCTTTGGTTGACACTTCATGAAGCTTCTACTGTTGTGTTAACACTCACTCACTCACTCACTCACTCACTCACTCACTCACTCACTCACTCACTCACTCACTCACTCACTCACTCACCATGGCAGGGTGTCGCCAATCGCGTGCAGCGGATTCGCTTTGAACAGCGCCGTGCCCTGCTGATGGGTACCACGACCCCCTCCGGCACCACTCCCTCGGCTTCGGCTGCGTCCTCCCGCCCTGCCAGTGCCCGTTCCCGCAGACGCAAGCCCCGTGTCTGCGTCATTGCTTGAAAAGGCCAGCGCACTCGCGCAATGTGACAGCTTCACGCGTGACGTGTCGTGCCAAACCCCCTCTTGCTGATGTCGGGCGCTTTTCATCGTTCCTCCTTGTATGTTTGCTTGCATGATGGCTGTTTGTTTCGTTGTGGCGCTCGCGTCTTGCTGTCATGCAGCTGAACAATCCACTTTCCAGCACTTGCTTTGTTGCCTGTTTGCTTCGTTCTGACATGCTTTCGTGTTCTTGCTTCCTTCTTTCGTTCCTCCCTTTGCTGCTTGATCCTTGCTTGCGTTCTCATGCGTGATTGTGCCCCCCCCCCTAGCTAGCCTGCTCTTTCGTGCCTCTCAACATCTCTCGCACGCACACGTTCATGCACATGCACACATGCCCTGACAAAACCCCCCAACAGAAACATAGCCAATCAGAAAAAAATCCCAAACCCCAACCCCAAAGCCGCGCACACTGTCCCACGCCATCGCCAGGTTTTGCTTGACCTTCCTGCTTGCTGCAATCAATCGTGTATGGACGAATTGTCAAACGGAAATGGCGCTACGGGAACAACCACGACTTAAAAACAGCGACAACAAACACACAGGACAAGAACGATGCATGCTCGGCCAGCCAAACACGCACAATGCTCATCACCGCCACTGACACGCCTTGCAAGCAGGCATGGTCGGGTTGGCGGTGCAACATAAAGCAACGCGCAAAGCAACAACAAAATCACACACCAGCAAACACTATGAGGAGTAACAGGGATGTGTGAACTTGACAGCCACAACGAAAGACCACAAGGAAAGGCGGTGGGCGGACAGAACAGTTCAAGTAAAAGAGAGAACACGTCAGTGCAAGCATGTGATGCAACACCGGTACGCTACACGCCAAACAAAGAGGCGAACAAACACACAAAAAGAGACACACAAAGAGCGCCCATGTACGTGCGCACAGATGATGGCGAAAATGCACACAAAAAGACACAGCAACAACGAACCAAGCAAACAACTCAAACACAACACCAAGACAACGACTACACATGGACAATGTACAAGGATCTGCCTCGCGTCTGCTGCGCCATGACAACAGCAACACTGACACGCGTTTGATGCCAAGCGACGCGGCGCCCACAAAGGACACAAAAGAACACCAAAACACAAACATACACACAAGGAGGGCTCTCAGGTTAAGGGAGAGATGTGTGTGGGGGGGGGCTTGTCAAGGAGCAGCAGAGAGCGGCAGAGAGGACCACATGAATGTGCCTCGGTTTAGCTCAGGTGATGCTGCTGCTCAAATGTTGTCAGCGATGGAGAGCATAAACTTGCGGTACTTGTTTGGCCCCCATTGCCGCACGCGCTGCCACTTGTCGGGGTGCTGACGGAAGTACACGGCGCAGCCCACAATGACGAGGGCGAGGATGATGCAGGAGATGGTGACGCTGACAATGAGCGGAAGGTTGCTGCCGCCGCTCACCTGGTAGTAGCCGCCAGCCGGAGCGGCTGCGGACCCACCCACCTGGAACACGGCCTCCCCGTTGCGGATGCGTGCGTTGGGGATCTTGCGCCGAATCTGATGGCAGCTGGTGCCGTTGTACACACACGCGCGGCCGGCGGGCGTGTCTGGGAAGTAGTACACGTCACCGTAGGAGATGGCCACTGTCACGGGCATGCGCACGGTGATGGGCTTGCCAGACTCTGGGTCGCGCTCGGGCAGAGCCGTGTACTCCGTGTTGCCGTCAAACCACAGGCTCACCCACATGTCGCCGGCCTCAATCGCAGAGAGGGACGCGGGCGAGATGCTGCCCCAGATGCCCTCAATCTCAAACTGGTTGTTGAAGGTGGTGTTGACCACGGCGTGCTGGCGCTGCGCCGTCTTGAACTCCACCTGCACATACGGCAGGTTGCCCGTGTCGCTGTAGTACTGGCGGGCCCAGGGCTCAAAGGCGTCCGAGGTGAGGCGGTAGTAGAGCTGCGTGGCGTCCAGGATGCGCACGGTGACGCGGATGTCCTCGCGGATCATGACGCCCTCGCGCCGCGTGTTGGCCAGCTGCAGCGTCGTGTCGAGGAACTGCACAATGGTGGCGAGGTCCAGCGGGGTGACCTGCAGAATGTCGCTGCCAGCGGTGCTCAGGCCGCGGTTCCGGCCGCCCGTGGCAATCGCAGACAGGCCAATGTGCTGCAGGCTCGGCAGGGACTTTGGCTCGATGTTCACGGAGAAGTCGCTCAGCTCAATGGCCACCTCGTCCGTGCGCACGCCAGAGAAGGTGTCCTCGGTGCTCATGGTGACAATGCCGCCGCGGCTGCCAATGGGCGCCGTCGTCTGCGGCGCCTCCGTCACCACAATCTTACCCTTCTGGCTGCGGTTGGAGAAGTTGTTGTTGCGCGTGCACATGTAGTGGTAGGTGCCAACGCCCGTGACGCGGTGCGGCTTGATGTCAAAGTACGTGCCTGCGTCATCGAGCTCAGACATCTCGCCGCCCAGCTGCACGTTGTTGAGGGTGGACAGGTCCACCAGCTGCTGGTACGTCATGCCGAGGAAGCCGTCGCGGGTGACGTTGTCCAGGTGCTCCGGGTGCGACATGCCCCACGCGCCGTGCTTGTACTTGTCCGGCACGCCAATGTCCTCCAGGCGCACGCGCGCTGGCCGCTGCTCCCAGTTGGTGGGGCGGTCTGCGCGCGGGCACTCGCTCCTGACGCACTTGAGCTCGTTGGCGGGCTCCACCTCGTAGTCCTGCGGGCAGTCGAGCAGCACGGACGCGTCCTGCCCGTCGCTGCCGCCAGCCTGCGCCGTCTCCGTGGGGCGGTCAATCCACTCGCACTTGCTCGACGGCTCGTAGCACAGGCGCCAGTTGTACGGGTGCGGCTCCGTCAGCGTGGGCTGGTCCTCTGGCGGGCAGGGGTAGTCGCCCATGGTCGGGTACATGTTGGGGCGCCAGCCCTCAAGGCCGGGCTCCTGGTCCTTTGTGGTCCAGAAGGTGCCGTCGGCGCCCTGCCCACCGGCCTTCTCCACGCCGCGCCCAAACTGGCCGCGCACGTACTCGAGGAGGGCCACGTTGGACCGGTCCGTGCCCTGCTTGCCCTGCCCGTCGTTGTGGTTGGGGTTGGTGTTGGAGCCCGTCCACTGGAAGTGCACGCAGTCGCCCTCGCGAATGTGCAGGCGGTTTGGCGTGAAGTCGTACTCGGTGCCGGGGAACGTCTGCACAATGTTGCCGCGCTTGCCGCGCACGTTGAGGGAGAAGATACCGTCGCACTGCTTGCGCAGCTCGTCGTCGCGCAGGGTCGACTTGTAGCGGTGGGAGCGGTCCTGGAACGTGCGCCCGAGCTGGGCCGTGTTGATGGCCAGCTGCAGGTCAAAGTCCTTGTCCTCGGAGGACCCGGGGAGGAAGCCCGTGCCGTTGAAGCACTTGTACGTCTGGTCTGCGGGGTCGACGGCCACCTCGGGGTAGTACACGGGGCAGAAGAACCGCGACGCCGGCTGGCGGCCCGTGTAGTCCACAGAGCCGTTTGCGAGGCGGGTGTAGCAGTACGTCGGGTCGCCTTCAATCGTGAGCTCCGGGTCTGCGCAGAAGAGCCGCTGCGAGAAAAAGTCGAAAATCTGCACCTGCGGGTTCTGCTCGAAGAGGTACCCGCGGGCGTTTTCCCAGGGGCGCGCGCTGTCCGAGGTCTGGATGCCGTGTGCGCCGGCCACGTTGATGTGCGCGGGCCCGTTGCCCTGGTCCTTGTTCAGGCTGCTGTTGACCTGGCCCGCGTTGTGCGGGTCGAGCCCGGCGTAGTCCCAGGTGGTGATGTTGTAGCGGATGCGGGTGGCGCAGCGCTCGTGGGCAAAGCCCGGGTAGGTGAGGTTCCAGCCGTTGGTCTGGCCGCCGACGCCGTTGCCGAGGTGGTTGACGCGTGACCAGTCCGCCTCCATGCACTGCGGCGGGCGGACGTGCGGGTAGACCTCCGAGTGGGACGGGGCACGCGCCCAGCGGGCACGCGGCAGGTTCTGCAGGAAGCACTCGCGCTCGATGACCTCGCGGTGCATGCAGGAGCTGTCCTGGTCGCTGACGAGGTGCAGGCCCGTGGCGTTGAGGTGCGACGCGCGGCAGCGGTCCGCCTCCTGCTGGAAGGCGAGCGAGTCGTTGTAGGCGGCCGGGCACCAGCTCTGCACGCAGTAGGACGCGTTGACCGTGTCGTGGACAAAGTTCTCGGGGCAGGTGGCGTTGAGGGTGGCGTTGTACGCGCTGAGGACGCGCGTGTTCACGCACTCGCTGGGCACGCAGAGCGGGCAGGTGGACATGGACTCTGGGTGCACGACGTTGCTGCCTGGGCAGTCTGGGCAGAGGGCCTCGAGCTCTGCGGCGGTGATGGTGCGGTTGACGCGCCAGTCGTCCAGGCAGACCTGGAGGGTGCTGTTGTCCCAGGCGTTGTCGAAGCAGGAGCGGATGTCGGCGATGCACCTCTGGAACTCGGCTTCGACGGTGGCGAGGAGCTGCTCGTGCGCGGGGGAGCGCTGCTCGCGCAGGAAGGCGACCATCTCGGAGCCCTCCTCGTTGAGGGCCTCGCACGTTTCCTTTGTGTTTGGGATGAATCCGTTGCGGCCGTTGCCGCCCGTGGCGACCTTGTGGTGGTACCACGTGTCGGGGATGGCGCAGTAGTTCCTGCCGAGCACGTTCTCGCTCTGGTTGCGGTATGCGTCGCAGCGGGAGGCGTTGTTGGTGAAGATGACCCAGTCGATCCAGGGGGTTGGGTGCCAGTACGGGTAGTGGTCGCGCTCCTCGGGGCACTCAAAGCCGTGGCGGGCGCCATTGTTGTTCTGGCGGGTGTAGATGGCGGTGTTACCGCGGAGGTTGCGGTCTGAGGTGAAGAGGCCGCGGTTGCGCATGCGGTACTTGCAGTTGACGTAGTAGTCGTAGTCCTCGTGCATGCCGTAGCGCACGTCTGTGTTGCAGTCGTTGTTGAGGCAGTTGGAGGGCTGGTCTGGGATGGTTCGCGTGGTGACGCCGTCGCGCAGGTTGTCTGAGCACATGTACTGGATGACAATCTGGCAGTCGTTGTAGTCGTTGCCGCACGCGTGCTGGTTTGTCCATTCCAAGGGGATGGTTTCGCCCTCGTAGTAGTTGAGCGAGCCCACGTTGTACCCGCCACGGTTGTTGTTCTGCGAATCAAACAGCCTGGTATATGTGTGTATGTGTGTGTGTGAGAGAGAGTGTGTGTGTGAATGAGTGTGAGTGAGAGAGTGTGTGTGTGAATGAGTGTGTGAGTGTGTGAGTGTGTGAGTGTGTGTGTGAGTGAGAGTGTGTGAGTGTGTGAGTGAATGATAACGGCTTGCTTGGTAGTGTTGTTAGTTGTTTGTTGTGGGTTTGCATGCGTGTTGACACAACGCTGCTGCTTTGCGTGCACATGAACTCTCCAGCAGCCAACTGATTCAAGCAAGCGGCAACTGTGTTCCTGGTGGGTGTCACCACCGAACTTGTACCGCCATGAAGGTCCCACCAACAATGCGTATGCACACGCCCCAACAAACACACACACACACTGAGGAACACACACACACACACACTGAGGAACAAACACACACACACACACTGAGGAACACATACACACACACACTCAGAAACACACACGCACTCACACACACACGCTCACACACACACACACTCTCTCTCTCTCACACACACACACACACATACACCCCAAGCATCAATTTCACACACCTGTTGGCGTTGTTTCTGTCACGACGAGCCTCATCAAGACGGTTGTTGGAGCCGCGCATGTTTTGCAAGTACATGTCGGCAGTGGTGCTCGCGACCAGCGCAGCCACCACCACAAGCGCCAGCGCCAATGAACCCCTGCTTGTGCTGTTGCTGGCCATGATGATGAATTGTGACTGGGGTAGTGTTGTTCTGTTGCTTGTGTTGTGTGTGTGAGTTGTGTGTGAGTTGTGGTCTTGTTTTGTGTGAAGTGTTGTCTTGTGTTGTCTGGTGATGCGATGTGGTCGTGTGTTGTGTGAGACTGCCTTGGCGCCAGTCTTCAATCTCTTTGCTGCTACTGCCGCTGCCTCTTGTGTGGGGTGAAACGCGCACACACTCAGGCACGCACGAGCGCTGCAATGCGGCTGAGGTGGATGGATGGATGGATACAGCGGTGCAGCAAGGACGAAACAAACAACAGGCAGACCAGCAAGGCGTCGTTGTGTTCTTCTTGCGAATGAAGCCCACGATCGCTCGTGCGTAAATCTTTCGAGGAAACAGCAAAGATTTCTTCCTCCTGCGATTAATTTTTTTTGTTGTTCCCAGCGACAACCCCACATACAACACCGCTGCCTGCTGTTGTTGTTTGGTTCGCTCCATCCATCCATCCATCCATCCATTCGTCCATATCCACACACGCACATCGCCGCCAGCTGGTGCTGTGTTTTGTTGAGTGCACCTTGCAGTCGCATGTGAGGTGAAGTGTTGTTGTCCGTCACCACATCCTTCACTACACCACACCACACCACACCACACCACACCACACCACACACGCACACTTTTTCACACACACGCACACGATGCGAGTGAGAAGCGCGCTTGCTGCGCTGTTGGTTGTGCTTGGTGTGCTGTGCTGCAGTGCACCCATCGCCCTCGGTGATGTGTACATGCACAACCCACGCGGATCCAACAACCGCCTGAACGAGCGGTCCGCCAACCGCAACAACGGCAACCGCATGTTCGACTCGCAGAACAACAACCGCGGCGGCTACAACAAGGGCGACAACAGCGTCAACGCGTTTCAGACATACTCGGAGCAGCATGACATGACCTTCTTCATGTCGCACCCGGACGCGGAGAAGGGCGGTAAGGGCGAGTCCGTCCTCACCGTCGAGTGGACCAACCAGCACGGCTGCGGCGGAAACGAGCACAACGACCCGCACAAGCTCAACTGCAACATGGTCCTGCAGTACATGTGCCTCCCGGAGGAGGTGCGCGAGCAGACGCGCGAGACGTGCGACGAGGAGTGCCGCATCCCGCGCCCTGAGAACCCAACCTGCGACCCGGACAACGCCAACCAGTGCGGCCTGTCCCCAATCAAGGACATGTTCCGCTGCCGCGAGCTCGGCATGCTGCCCACGGAGGCGGAGATGTACGACCGCTACAACTGCCCGCACAGCTGCGGCAACAACGCCGCCGCCAGCAGCCAGCTCGACTGCGGCTCGTCCTGGCGCGAGTACGCCGGCACCGCGGGCTACCTGCGCATGCGCGACGGCCTCAACACCAACCGCCAGGACTACACCAAGCCCAACAGCGGCACGCTCACGGAGCAGGCCCGCTACAACCGCAAGGCGGGCAACGTGCGCGAGGACCGCGGTCTGCACGAGGACTGGGACTTTTACGACGAGTGCTACCGCCGCGAGCGCAACCGCGGCCTCTTCACTGCAGACCAGAACCTGCGCAACAACAACCTCGGCTACTCCTCGGCCGTGTTCACGCGCCAGAACCCCAACGACAACCGCCGCGGGTACGAGTGCCCGGAGGAGCGCGACTACTGGCCCTACTGGCACCCGAGCCCCTGGGTCGACATTGCCGTGCTCACGGACCGCTCGGACCTGTGCCCCTTTTACCAGGCCGAGTCGCAGAACGTCAAGGGCAAGCACTTTTGCCGCAACACGCGCCGCTGCACCAACTGCATCCGCTTCAACAACGAGGCGCAGTGCAAGGCCAACGGCGGCAAGTGGGTGCTGCACCCGCCGCACCACCGCCCGGCGCCAGAGTGCCTGCAGGCCGCGTGGACCCGCGTGAACCACCTGGGCAACGGCCGCCACGGCCAGCCGGTCACCTACAACTGGACCCTGCCCTACCTGGAGGTGGGCGCCGACCGCTTTGCCGAGGCCGTGCCCCACCGCTGCGTCCTGCGCCTGCGCTACAACATCTCCACGGACGACTACGACGCCTGGCGCGTCAACGCCTCGTTCAACAACAACGAGGGCGCCGGTGTCGTGTCCCCCGTGCGGCAGAACCCGAACGTGGACATTGGCGCGCGCAACACGGCCCTGCGCCTGGCCATCAACACGGCCCAGTTTGGCCGCACCTTCCAGGACCGCTCGCACGTGTTCCGCCTCGTCCCGCGCACAGACGGGCGCTTCACAGGCAGCCGCCCGCGCGCCAATGCCAACGTCAACAACGCAGAGTTCTTTGGCAAGCGCCGCCTGTACAACCTCAACGTGCGCGGCAAGCGCGGCAACATTGTGCAGACGTTCCCCGCGGTGGAGTACGACTTTGTGCCGAACCACCTGCACATCTCCGAGGGCGACCTGGTGCACATCCAGTGGGCGGGCTCCAACACGCACAACAACGGCAACCCGGCTGGCGACGGGCAGGCGGGCGATGCGGGGGAGGGCCGCGGCGGGACAGACCGCCACAACTTTGTTGAGCTGCGCCGCCGCCAGTTTGGGGAGAGCTTCCCTGCCACCTGGGAGGAGAACACCATCTTCAAGAACATGGTGGATGCCCTGGACGCGCATGCCGAGTTTGAGGAGGAGCCGCACACCATCTCCACCACGCTGGACCGCGGGCGCGACTGGGAGGAGGTGAAGCAGAGCTGGGCGCTTCGCATGGCCAGCGCAGGGTACTACCGCTCGTTCAACTACAAGGACAACGACGGGAGACCAGACCCCAACTCCGTGGAGGGCAGGCCCACGCAGCTCAACACCCTGCTGGACAACGCCCCCGCCTCGTATGTGGGCGGCATCTTCCGGTTTGCGCGCGGCACGTACAACTACATGTGCACCCGCAACCACAACTTCTCCAACCGCGACCAAAAGGGCCACCTTGTCGTCGAATGACGCGCCACAACTTCAGCGTCATTTCGGTGACCATTATGCATGCATACATGCAATCAATCAATGGCATGGCACTTGGTTGTGCAGTTTGGTTTTTGTTTGTTTTGTGCGTCTGCGCCTAGACTTCTTGGTCTTGTTTGTGTCGTTGTATGAACTGCATCTGTAGCTGTGTTTGCGTCTGTGTATCTGTTCGTTTGTCTGGTTTGTGTCTTTTGTCTGTGTGCGCGTTTTGATGGCGCCATAGTGTGTTACACCTTTTACTTCTCCTTTTTTTCGTTGATGATGGTGGTCGGTTCACTTGCGTGCCCTGCCATGTGTGCTCTTTTGTCTTTTCTTTCTCTTCACCCGCACGAACGAACGCACACACCCGACGACGACGACGACGACGACGACGCCGACGACGCCGACGACGATGGAAAGAAGAAATGATGCTGGTGGTGATGGTGGTGTGTTGTTGCGTCATGCATCTGACCTCCAACCGCCGCTGCCACCCACCTTCTTTGTGTGCGCTTGGCTGGTTCCACAGCGCACCTTCGTCTGGTCTTTTGTTTCTTCCACCCCTCCTCTTCTTGCCACCACTTGCTTGCTTGCTTGCTTGCTTGCTTCTGTCCCCTTCCTTCAGTCTGCTTCTCACACAATACAAGAACTGAAGACACCACACGGCCTTCCTTCCTTTGCCCTTTGCCACGCGATAGCCAATCCTTTCTTTTGCTCACACACACACACACGCTCGCACACACGCTCGCACACACGATCTCTTCAAGAAGCGGAGAGGAGTGTTTTGCATGCAAGCATTGCTTCGCGCCCTGCTGTTGCCGTTGCGTGGAAAGAAAAACGCGGGCTTGCGTCACCGTGCGATTTTCGATAAGGCAGGCACACACCACGTGCACCACACACACACACACCACATACACCGCAGCGCAAGCAGACTGCATCACCCACCCACCCCCTGTCGTGTTCTCGCCGCCCTCCCTCGCCTTCTACTCTCCACAATGGCAGACACCAACAATGCGATCGCACAGCAGGTTGTGCAGATCACATACGATGACCTTCGTAGTGGCAAGGACCTCTCGAAACAAGGTGTGTCTGTGTGTGTGTGTGTGTGTCTGTGTGTCTGTGTCTGTGTGTGTGTGTGTGTGTGTCTGTGTGTCTGTGTCTGTGTGTGTCTGTGTGTGTGTCTGTGTGTCTGTGTGTGTGTCTGTGTGTCTGTGTGTCTGTGTGTCTGTGTGTCTGGCTCGCTGGCTGGCTCGCTGGCTGTGTGCATAAATAAACTCCACCAGCGTTTTCGTGTATCTTTGCTGACCTTCACTTGCTCACTCTTGCTCGCTCCTTGCTTGCGTATCGTGTGTAGTCAAAGAGGCCTTTGATAAGGATGGCATGGGTCTCATTGCCGTCACGGGCCTTCCCGACGATTACCTCGACATGTGC